TCAAATCAATGAAAAATCTATGGGTAGGTGTGTTAATGGTGCTCTCCGCCTCCCCATCTCACATTGAGATCATTTAATGATTTATTTACTCACAGGAGTGATGATCAGAGGGGCACGGTCATCTAAACAGGGACTGAAGATGGGGAAGAGTTTCTCAGTGAAGTTACAGCCGGTGAAGGAGTAGATGAGAGCTGCTGCATCTACATCATAGAAAGAGACCACACCCTCCTCGTAATCCACAAACACGCCCACCTTCTGAGGCTTCGACTTCAGAGAGAGGAGAACACCGACAGCTTTGTACTCACCTCCATTCCTCAACATCAGAAACCAAGGGCCTGTCTTTAGTCTTGGTGAGATTGGTTCCTTCCTGTTAATCGACCCTCGGGCCACTCCTAAATCCCATTTACTTTTATTTTTAACCTCAACCTCAAAATAAAACTTTCCTGCACAAATACTCTGCTTTCCTAAAACACTCGCCTCAGAAAACCTCTCTGGGTTGTCTGGGCGTTTCTTTCTTTTACCATAATATACTTGTTTCCCGTCATCAGACAGAATGAGAAATGGATGTGCAGTATCAGGATCCAGAGTGATGTCCACTGCATACTGCTGGATCCTCATCAGCTCAGACTCAAGCTGCTTCTCCACCTCTTCACTGAGTTTCTCCTCCAGCTGAGCCACAGCGCTCCTCACCATCCCCTCATACGATGAGTGAACTCTGACCTCCGTCCAGTCTTTAGTGGGTGGGTGATCAGGGTTCAGGGATGGGAGGTTTTGGAGGAACTGAAGGTGGTCTTCAGTGCTTAAGAGCTGCTCCACTTCAGTGTTTCTCTCCATCAGCTCAGAGATTTCATCTTCCAGCTCTTTGATGAAGCCTTCAGCCTTCTCCTCTGTTGTTTTCTGCTTCTCCTCAAGTAAGTTAAGAAGCTGAGCCAGGCCTTCCTCGACAGACCGGATCAGAGCTGTGAAGACCTGCACGCTGTCTGATTTCTCTCGGTCAGTATCTTCCCTGCTGAGCTTCACCGACTGCCTGATCTTCTCGATCTTCAGTCGTCTCTTCTGAATCTTCTGCTGAATTTCGGCGTCTAACTTCACCAGTTTGTCCCTCTTTACCTTGTTCTCTTCCATCATGGGAACAAAGACATGTTGCTTGTGTTCTGACTCAGTGCAGAACTGACAAACACACCTCTGATCCGTCTTGCAGAACATCTCCAGAGGTCTGCCGTGACTTTTACAGATTCTGTCCTCCAGGTTCTCCACAGGATCGATCAGCTCGTGTCTCTTCAGGCCTGGGATTCTGTGATGAGGCTCCAGGTGAGTCTCACAGTAGGAGGTCAGACACATCAGGCAGGACTTCAGAGCCTTCGTTTTGGATTCAGTGCAGACGTCACACAGAACTTCTCCAGAGTTGGTGTTTTCCTTCAGAGACATTCTGCTGCTTTTCTTTACAGTCGACTGTCTGAACTGAGCAGCCATCTCTGATATGAACGTGTTGACGTGAAGCTCAGGTCTCCTGTTAAAAACCTTTGAACACAATGGACACTGACATGGGGCATTAACATCCCAGTGATAAGTGATGCAGCTCTTGCAGAAGTTGTGTCCACATGGTATGGAGACTGGATCAGTGAACACATCCAGACAGATGGAGCACAGAAACTGCTCTTCAGATAGCATGCAGCTGGCGGCAGACATTTCTATAAAACAAGATTGAAAATAAATCAAACTTTTTAATTGTTCTATTACCGATTATTAAAAGTTCATTAGACCTTTTACCGACATTTGGAAGAGCACGACCGATTAATCGGCCAGCCGATAATATCGACCGATATTAGCATATCCTGTGACTATCGGTATCGGCTACTGGCATCACAGATATGTGCCGATATTACTCGATTAATTCACCAGTCAAATAGCATTTCATTTGAGTTTCATCGTATGACACTAGCAGTTCTCTGTCACCAGCAGAGGGCGCTATATGGATTATAAAAAGCATCATCACTCTCCAGAGTGTCGAGCGGTGATGCACGTACATGCTCAGTTACTTTCCAGCTGAGTGACCATCCTGTCTTTGTTATAAATCTTTTCCACAAGTGTTTGATAACTGCATATTAGGGATCAACACAAATAAGTGTGTATCTATCTCTGCAGATCGAACATAGATCTAAGAAAGATATCAGCCGATATATCTCTTTTTTTATACTCTCAAATATCAATATCAGTATCGGCCCCAAAAATATCATATCGGTCGGGCCCTAATATTTGAAACCAGCGTATGTAAACTAAAAATGAAAATCTTTCTGTCAAAATTTTGAATTTGGAATATAACAAACTCCAACACAAGACTTTGTTTAAATGGATATTACTCATGTGACGTCTGGCCAATCAGATACTGTTGTGGGCGGAACAAATGGGTGAGGCATTGTAACAGACCCAGAAGGAAAGACACATTTGCAGCTGAGCAAAGGGCATTTTTTAATTAATTTTTCTTTCATAAAGGGGAATAATAAAATGCCGGCCAAATACCAAATACACACACATTCCTGAAACGAATTACCATCACATATCAGGGATTGAGAGAATGACTTAACCTTTATAAGAAAACGCACACATTGGTTAACGTAGTCATTTATAAAATCGGTCCTTTTCCCAGGGGTTTCTTGCTCTTCCTGTTTTTCAGATTAGCTAATTGAATGTATGTCTGTTATTTCTTACATGGAAATTGTCTCCATATTGTTTGTAAAATCGTCTGTGGGTTCTTTTGTGAGCTGTCCTGTAATTGTAAATGTGTTTGATGATATTCTTTAGTAACTACTTTGTAGGACGTTTAGCTTTTGTGCTAATTCCAGCATATTTACATGGATGCTATATGCTGATATGATGATTAATGTGCACTGTGCTAATTCAATAAATAAAAAATGGAGAGTACACTGACAACTGTAAGAAACTTTTTAAGTATTTTTCCACATAGCTGATCATGTTTTGGTTGGATAGTTTCTGTGTTTATTTAAGCAGGTAAATGTGCAGACGAACCAGCAGGCCTCTCCTTCACACACTGCTGTACTAACTCTCCTTATGCTTTATATAGTTCAAGATATGTCTGGTCTAATAACATCAGTGTGACTATTAGTGAGGCTACAGTCCATCTCTGAACACAAACACACATCATAGTTTTTTCTAAATATAGTCTAACATCACCACAAATCTCCTCACAAATCAAAAGAAGCTACTTAAGTTGCGTGCAGGAGAAGCACCACTTTGCGCATGCGCACGGCACAGAAAAGTCCAAAATCAAAATTCTGGAAAAAACTCAAAACAGCAGTAAGATTGATCTCTTTGATATAATTGTCCCGTAGACTGTAAATATTACGAGCAGAAAAATCAGAAAATAAAGTGTCTTTCCTTCTTTAAACTCACTAAATAACAAAAACTGACCTGATGATGATAATGTTTGATTTATAGGCGTCACCTTACAGATCTGTTCTGTGATTCCACATTGAATAAAAAACTCAATGATGGGATAAGAACAATAAATCAAACATTACTCTGTTTAAACACACATCCTGCACGTTACTCACCTGAGTGTCTTTTAGTGTTTTTCTGTCAAAGTCAAGACGAAGAAGAAACTCTGACTCCTGGAGAGAAAATATTCTTCTGAAGAGATAAGTTTCAGTTTCATTTCTCTCTTTTTTGCCGCTTAAACTTTTCTCTCCCCTTTTTTTTTCTTATACCGTAAAACTTCAAATAAAAGCCCATCCCAATATGACTCCCAGGCTCCTTTTTACCGGCCTGGTGGTTGCTGCTAATTTATGATAAATAAAGGCAGCTCTCCATCAGAGGACCTTTTTGCATTTATTGTTGAAATAGTTTGCAGATCACAAATAAGTAAAAATTGATGGCAGAGTCATTTTCATAGTGAATTACATATTAAAAACATGAGCAATTATTTGGAGTTTTACGGTAAACTTTTTTTTTTTTTTTTTTTTTTAAATAGGATAAGATAAGATAATCCTTTATTTATCCCAAAATGAGGAAATTTACAGTGTTACAGCAGCAAAGAGCAAAGATTGCAGGGACAGTGCACATTAATGATCATCCCTTGGCAGGTTGGTGGTAAACGCGTAAAAAAAGTTGCATAAAACCACAATGACAAGCAACACCAATACAACAAGTAATGACAAAACAACAACATATACCGTACATGAATTAACAGAGACACATACCAGTATAAAGAGTGGCTGTTTGACTTTGTTCAGAACAAACCATGAAGTGACCATCAGAGTTCAAAGTGCTTCAGGTGCTGCTAAGGGACGTAAAGTGTCGGAGTATTAAAGTGTCACAATGCTGGAGTACTGCACATCATTAAGAGGGACTGTTGTAATTGCACATTTACCCTAGAGAGCGTGTAACTTTAAAGGACTTGAAGGAAAGCACAAACAAGAAGACGTACCAGTTAACTAAAAGGCAAAGGTACAAAGACAATTATCAAGCACATCATAATAATAATAATAATTCCATTGACAGACTCATTTAGAAAAAGTTTCGGATACATTTAAATTATTGGCATGGATTTTTTTGTGTAGGGACAAGCAGCACATGACACGGGAGTCATTTTAAAGAAAAGGTGGATTTTTATTTTATCCAACAAAGAAATACAAAGTTTACAAACCAAATTATAAGAACTAGGCCAATGAAACACAATAAGGTGTGAACAAAGCAGCAACCTCCAGGGTGTAAAAATGAAGCCAACGCTTAAGAGTAAAATCCTGCAGTTCCTCGAGTGTCCACTAGAGGCTGGCTGCAGAAGCACAGGAAGTCAAATACACACCCATTCAAAAAAGCCTGTTTTTACAGCAGAGATTAACATGTTTACAAAAAAAAACTAAACGGTACTGATTAGTTATTGTCATCACTGGTACAAGGACTCCACGCCTCCCCACCAACACAAAGCTTATCTCACACTGAGATCATTTAATGATTTATTTACTGTGTTTGGCTCACAGTAGTGATGATCAGAGGGGCAGAGTTGTTCCCTGAGTCATTATTACAGGGACCAAAGATGGGGAAGAGTTTCTCAGTGAAGTTACAGCCGGTGAAGGAGTAGATGAGAGCTGCTGCATCTACATCATAGAAAGAGACCACACCCTCCTCATAATCCACAAACACGCCCACCTTCTGAGGCTTCGACTTCAGAGAGAGGAGAACACCGACAGCTTTGTAATCACCTCCATTCCTCAACATCAGAATCCAAGGGCCTGTCTCTAGTCTTGGTGAGATTTGTTCCTTCCTGTTAATCGACCCTCGGGCCACTCCTAAATCCCATTTACTTTTATTTTTAACCTCAACCTCAAAATAAAACTTTCCTGCAGAAATACTCTGCTTTACTAAAACACATGTCGTCTTAGAAAACCTCTTTGGGTTGTCTGGGAGATTCTGTCTTTTACCAAAATATACTTGTTTCCCGTCATCAGACAGAATGAGAGATGGACTTGCTGTATCAGGATCCAGAGTGACGTCCACTGCATACTGCTGGATCCTCATCAGCTCAGACTCAAGCTGCTTCTCCACCTCTTCACTGAGTATCTTCTTCAGCTGAGCCACAGCGCTCCTCACCATCCCCTCATATGATGAGTGAACTCTGACCTCCGTCCAGTCTTTAGTGGGTGGGTGATCAGGGTTCAGGGATGGGAGGTTTTGGAGGAACTGGAGGTGGTCTTCAGTGCTTAAGAGCTGCTCCACTTCAGTGTTTCTCTCCATCAGCTCAGAGATTTCATCTTCCAGCTCTTTGATGAAGCCTTCAGCCTTCTCCTCTGTTGTTTTCTGCTTCTCCTCAAGTAAGTCAAGAAGCTGAGCCAGGCCTTCCTCGACAGACCGGATCAGAGCTGTGAAGACCTGCACGCTGTCTGATTTCTCCCGGTCAGTATCTGCCCTGCTGAGCTCCACTGAATCCTTCATCTCCTGAATCTTCAGATGTCTCTCCTCGATCATTTTCTGAATTTCAGTCTCCGTCTCACTCAGCTCAGCCTTCTTCTTTTCATATTGCTCCATCAAGGGAACAATACAGTGAAGCTTGTGATTTGATTCAGTGCAGCTGAGACACACACACATCTGATCCGTCTTGCAGAACATCTCCAGAGGTCTGCTGTGACCTTCACACATTCTGTCCTGCAGGTTCTCCATAGGATCGACCAGCTCGTGCTTTGTTGGACCTGTCATGTTCTGATGAATCTCCAGGTGAGTCTCACAGTAGGAGGTCAGACACATTAGGCAGGACTTCAGAGCCTTCACTTTGGTTTCAGTGCAGACGTCACACAGAACTTCTCCAGAGTTGGTGTTTTCCTTCAGAGACATTCTGCTGTTTCTCTTTACAGTCGACTGTCTGAACTGAGCAGCTATCTCTGATATGAACGTGTTGACTCGAAGCTGAGGACGTTTTTCAAACACATCTTTACACATGGGACACTCACACTGATCATTAACATCCCAGTGATGAGTGATGCAGGTCTTGCAGAAGTTGTGTCCACATGGTATGGAGACTGGATCAGTGAACACATCCAGACAGATGGAGCACAGAAACTGCTCCTCAGATAGCATGCAGCTGGCGGCAGACATTTCTAGAAACGGAGAGAAAAGACCAATCGATAACGTGAAACATGTTGAAACAAGGAACTCTAACAAATCTTGTATTTATATACCAATGTCTATAAAGCCTTTGCATTGTGGGAAACAGTACATGAGAGAGACTTCTCTGATGCAGACTGTAGATTTGTCACGTATCAGCACAACATCCGGGTTTTCTTTTGGCATACTGCAGATCTCGCATTTGTTTGCATACTGCGCTTTAACCAAATCGGTATGAACTACTGGTGCTGTAGGCGGTTTGATTGACCACCTACAGTAACAGTGACCTCCCTCACATCATGGTGGATTCATGTTGGCTCTCTGTAAATAATATATTTAAATGTATGGTCTGGACCTACTCTTTAAAAAGGAAACGTGAGCAGTAGGAACTGTGGTTAATAAAGACTGATAAATGGTGATCTAGTAGCTGAGGAGAAGAGCGAGCATAGTATTTATTTTTAAAAAGAGGACAAAATTAAACTCGGAGTAGAGATTAAAATATAACTGAACTAACAAACACAATATGTAGGCTACAGAATGTTAAAAAACGAATTCAAGGTGAAACCTTTAAACAAAACAGTGTTTGCTGCCATCATGCGGCCATGAGATGTAACTGCAGTATCTCTTTGTAGACATTCTGACTTTTATTATTTAATCAGCAGACAAAGGACTTGTTATTATCTAACCTATGATTTACGTCATATATTTATCTACATCTGTGGTCATAGTCTGATGAATGTTGAAGTCTGCTTGATTTTAAAAAGCTCTCAGTATTTGGTGTATTAGAAGATATTTTTATATTGGACAAAATGTTTCTGTGTACACCTGACACACCTGACAAAGACTACGTCATCACGCTGACGTTCAGACATTTAATCTCCAGTAAAGTTAGCTTTATATTCAGATGAGTTCACAGGTATTTCACCTGTCTGAATAACAGTGTTGGGCAAGTTACTTTAAAAAAGTAATTAGTTACAGTTACTAGTTACTTCTCCCAAAAAGTAACTAAAGTAGTTACTGAGTAACAAATTATAAAAGTAACTAGTTACTTTGGAAAGTAACTATTTCGTTACTTTCAAGTAAATTTTTAAATGCTCAAATGTGTCAAAGAATTTGGACCCCACCTCCACCCCTCTTTAACAGAACTTAAAATACATGTGCATGTTCAATTATTTATGATAACTCTGAATATTATAATGAAATGGACACTTAATACAATCAATAATTAACAGAAACAGTGTACACAAATCTAAACTATTTTAATGTTGCTGTGGGACAAAGTGAGACTAGCCTCCAATCAAATGTCATGTATTATTGTAGATATTATAATTACTATGTTTATATAGTGGATCCGTAAAAATGACATAATAGATGTTTTGTCTGCTGTGGTAGACAAATATTCTAATTTCTCAAATGTCTGTTTGAGCTCGACATTCATTTGAGCATGTTGGGCGTCTATATAGTTCGCGAACGTCTTTCTACATGGCAGGCCGACCCCTGCTCTGACCGGTATTTTGGCAGCTAGTGCTCTGAATGACTCCGACTCAACCATCGATAATGGCAGCATATCCTCCACAACATACCTGGCTACCAGTTTGTTTAGCTCGGCCTGAGACAAAATGTGTGGTGGTGGGGCCGTAAAATCAAGCTTCGGTTGCTTAGGTTTTGTGGCACTGTCTCCTTCTCCTTCGGGGGTCTTCTTGGCCACTAATTTCGTGGAAGCATGTAGCGTTGAAAGATGTTTCAATAAATTTGAATTGCTCGACACCGACGTGGAGAGGCTTTTGACTCCAGGGCATAATGTGCATTTCACGACTACACTCGTTCCTTTAATTTCTTGGAAGGAAAAGTAATGGCTATAGTTCCACTTAAAGAAGGCTACTGTTGGATTATTTGGGCTCGCCATTCCTGTTTCTCGTTGACTCATTTGTGTAGTTGTGTGTCTGACTATGCATACTTTCGAATTTGTGTAAACAACACCCGCCCAACTCTACCTCTGATTGGCTCACCATGAAATTTTTACTCTACCTCAGCCAATCGTCATCATTTATGCGGTTGTCTCGTGTCCGCACTCACCAAAGAGGAAGAACAGTAAGAAATATCTTTGCCACTCGGCTTAGAGATCTAGTTGGTCTGATGAAAAACAGCTTCAGTCATAGTAACGCACCGCATTTTTTGGCAGTAACGGTAACGGCGTTATAATGATGGGAAGAGTAATCAATTAGATTACTCGTTACTGAAAAAAGTAACGCCGTTAGTAACGCCGTTATTTATAACGCCGTTATTCCCATCACTGTCTGAATAATAATGACTTCTATCAATGCCCGGAGCAGCAACAGAAACACTGTCAGACTTCTTCACTTCTTCTCTGAAACTCTTTGAGCCCTGATTGAAAACTTGAATACAGCTCTATTCTTTCTCTCGCTCTCTCTTTTTATCAAAGCCAAAGGTTACTTATCATGCTCACCTGTGCGGATGCGACTTCGTGACGTCAGACAGGTAAAGGAGCTGATGAAACGATCTTTTTTCAGATACAAACAGACGTTGTTCTTCTTCAGCGGTGAAGTTCTGTCACTTTCATTTCCTCGAGTGTGACACCGAAACACTTTTCTGTGTTGCTCCGCCTCGCACTGCGCATGCGTCACTTCGTTTTAGTTGAGTTTAGAAAAAGGAGGTAGTTATAAGCACGTGACGTAGGTGCAAAGATCGAGAAGGGTCGAGTGGTCTGTCTGCAGGCTGCAAGAGGTGTGAGAGGGGCTTTCTTTAAAAGCAAACGATTATTATTTTTATTTAAACGATGTTTTAGTTCACCAAGCGTTAAAAACAGGGTAAACGGAGGTGTTAGTTTAATTAAGTAGCCTATATGTGACATTTATCCTATTTTCGTTAAATATTCATAGATAATTATGTCTCCTTACTGAAATTATTTGACTTTATTACATGCTAGATTTCATAATTATTATATTTTTGATTCAATTTTGTGTATAAAAATAAAAATATTCCCTTTTTTATTTACTCTCAGCTCCATCCAACAATCTGCACAGACAGGCTGCCGGGCTTCTACTGCGGATATGCTTGTAGGATACTACAGCTTTTATGTTGCTGGAGGAACTTCTGAATTATGTTTCATAAATAAAAATGTTCATTTAGTTTTGCCTTTGTTTTAAGCTTTGAAAAATGAATTTAAGCCAGAAAGATTTGGAAAAGTCATGGACTTGTATTATATGAGGTCTATTTATGATGTTTAATTTTGTAATATAATTAAATATCCAATCAAACATCAAGTAGCCTAATGATATTCAGCCCTACATTTTACTGCTTATGTTTGTATGTTTTCATTTGTCTTTCAGACATTAACACATATTTGTCCTTTTTTATGCTGTTGTTTTGAGTAACTTTGCTGTTGTGTGGGTAATTAAGAAAATACATTTTATAAATTTACTGAATACAAACGACTTTATTTTGTATATCAACCCAAAATAAATGGAGGCTTCATCATTGTTAATGTTAATGAAATATGTACTTTTTGTCAAATGACTAAAAAGAAAAGACCCACCCAAAGATTTCAACACCAATAGGCTGATAGGCACTATGATGGCAGGAGTGGTCAAATATTCAAAATGTCCCGAGGTGAAACACACCTGTAATGATCACATTTCAGATATAACACCAGGACAAATACACAAAGGCAAAATACATATAGTCAAAACATTATTTATTTACCGCACTAATACAAGAGACATCGTATAAAAACATCAACACAGACAAATCCAAAAAGCAGACAGCGTTAAAATGTGAAGAGCAGGAAACACATCTGATTACTACAGATGTTCATCATGTTTACATGTTCTACGTTTAGATTCATTTTTACAGATGTGCGTCCAAGTTTTAACAACATACCCATTTAAATAGTTTATATTTGAAACATTTGAAACAAGGTCGCTTCATGTCTCGTCATTTAAAGCGGTCATCACCCTCTCATGTTTTCTCATCAATTTAACATTTTTAACATTTTTTAGGAGAAATGTTTTTTGAAGATTGTTTAGAGGAAATATTTAATGTGGTATTCCTGATTGAGGCCTTCAGGCGTTAAAGTCTGGAGAGTGAATGTGTGGAAACTCTCTCTTTGAAGTCAGAGGGAATTTAAATCAGCTTTTCTTCTGGATAAACGTTGCTGAGTTTAAACACACGTCTTGAGTTTCTATGAGACTTTAATGACACTGAGCACAGATCCATTAGTTTAGAGGGGACATATTATGAACACTTCTACAGTGTTTCTGAACATATATTTGGGTAACCTGAGTGTCTACTGACCCACAAAATGTGAAATAAACCCATCCAGTCCTTTGTTTGTGGTCTGCATAAGTCTTACAACACAGAGAAAAATGCTCCGTTCCAAATATGCTCTCCTTGTGATGTCACAGTGGGATTCTGGTAAAAAAAAATCCCCTCCCCTCCCCTGGTATCTCCACCCATGGACTCATCCCCCAGCCTAGAGCAAAACTTTCAGACAAAACCAAGATACCTTAGTGTGCAAATTGATGATGTGACTCCATAAAGTGCCCACACCACGGCCTTCAAACCGGTGCACGACTAGGAAGGAAGTACCTCTTCGTTACAACGTTTCATCATCATTTTCATCATATGATTCACTAGATCGTCTTCCTCCGAGCTATCAAACTCGTTAACATACAGTGACTGAACTGAGAACCCCAAATACACGTAACAGTCCAGTGTCTCAGTTTGTTCTAGAGGAGAACACCCAGCCTACCTATTTGTGTAAGGACAAGTATGGAGCAAGTAAAGTGATGCCACACACCACAGCTTTTACAGCCGAAGCTAATTTGCATCGCCCGTCCCTAGATGGGTCTGTAAAAGACATCAAAGTCAACAACAGATGAACAGACCCAAACAAGCACAGCAACAATAGACAGAAGAGTACAGGAAACAAAGTATCGTACAATAAAACAAAGTAAAACAGGAAGAGCAAGATCAAATATGACCACAAGACTGAGTCCTCTTTATGAACTGTTCCAGTTTGAGTTTAGAATGACTCCAGTCTGGATCCAGTTTGAGCTCTCCACTTGTTGATCCCCTGCACAGAGATGGATGTTTGTCCTAGATCTCAAATCAATGAAAAATCTATGGGTAGGTGTGTTAATGGTGCTCTCCGCCTCCCCACCAACACAAAGCTTATCTCACATTGAGATCATTTCATGATTTATTTACTGTGTTTGGCTCACAGGAGTGATGATCAGAGAGGCACAGTCATCTGAACAGGGACCAAAGATAGGGAAGAGTTTCTCAGTGAAGTTACAGCCGGTGAAGGAGTAGATGAGAGCTGCTGCATCTACATCATAGAAAGAGACCACACCCTCCTCGTAATCCACAAACACGCCCACCTTCTGAGGCTTCGACTAAGCTTCACCGACTGCCTGATCTTCTCGATTGTCAGTCGTCTCTCCAGAATCTTCTGCTGAATTTCGGCGTCTAACTTCACCAATTTGTCCCTCTTTATCTTGTTCTCTTCCATCATGGGAACAAAGACATGTTGCTTGTGTTCTGACTCAGTGCAGAACTGACAAACACACCTCTGATCCGTCTTGCAGAACATCTCCAGAGGTCTGCCGTGACTCTTACAGATTCTGTCCTCCAGGTTCTCCACAGGATCGACCAGCTCGTGTCTCTTCAGGCCTGGGATTCTGTGATGAGGTTCCAGGTGAGTCTCACAGTAGGAGGTCAGACACATTAGGCAGGACTTCAGAGCCTTCACTTTGGATTCAGTGCAGACGTCACACAGAACTTCTCCAGAGTTGGTGTTTTCCTTCAGAGACATTCTGCTGCTTCTCTTTACAGTCGACTGTCTGAACTGAGCAGCCATCTCTGATATGAACGTGTTGACTCGAAGCTGAGGACGTTTTTCAAACACATCTTTACACATGGGACACTCACACTGATCATTAACATCCCAGTGATGAGTGATGCAGCTCTTGCAGAAGTTGTGTCCACATGGTATGGAGACTGGATCAGTGAACACATCCAGACAGATGGAGCACAGAAACTGCTCTTCAGATAGCATGCAGCTGGCGGCAGACATTTCTAGAAACGGAGAGAAAAACCAATCGATAACGTGAAACATGTTGAAACAAGGAACTCTAACAAATCTTATATTTATATACCAATGTCTATAAAGCCTTTGCATTGTGGGAAACAGTACATGAGAGAGACTTCTCTGATGCAGACTGTAGATTTGTCACGTATCAGCACAACATCCGGGTTTTCTTTTGGCATACTGCAGATCTCGCATTTGTTCGCATACTGCGCTTTAACCAAATCGGTATGAACTACTGGTGCTGTAGGTGGTTTGATTGACCACCTACAGTAACAGTGACCTCCCTCACATCATGGTGGATTCATGTTGGCTCTCTGTAAATAATATATTTAAATGTACGGTCTGGACCTGCTCTTTAAAAAGGAAACGTGAGCAGTAGGAACTGTGGTTAATAAAGACTGATAAATGGTGATCTAGTAGCTGAGGAGAAGAGCGAGCTTATTATTTATTTTTAAAAAGAGGACAAAATTAAACTCTGAGTAGATTAAAATATAACTGAACTAACAAACACAATATGTAGGCTACAGAATGTTAAAAAACGAATTCAAGGTGAAACCTTTAAACAAAACAGTGTTTGCTGCCATCATGCGGCCATGAGATGTAACTGCAGCATCTCTTTGTAGACATTCTGACTTTTATTATTTAATCAGCAGACAAAGGACTTGTTATTATCTAACCTATGATTTACGTCATATATTTATCTACGTCTGTGGTCATAGTCTGATAAATGTTGAAGTCTGCTTGATTTTAAAAAGCTCTCAGTATTTGGTGTATTAGAAGATATTTTTATATTGGACAAAATGTTTCTGTGTACACCTGACACACCTGACAAAGACTACGTCATCACGCTGACGTTCAGACATTTAATCTCCAGTAAAGTTAGCTTTATGTTCAGATGAGTTCACAGGTATTTCACCTGTCTGAATAATAATTACTTCTATCAATGCCCGGAGCAGCAACAGAAACACTGTCAGACTTCTTCACTTCTTCTCTGAAACTCTTTGAGCCCTGATTGAAAACTTGAATACAGCTCTATTCTTTCTCTCGCTCTCTTTTTATCAAAGCCTACGGTTACTTATCATGCTCACCTGTGCGGATGCGACTTCGTGACGTCAGACAGGTAAAGGAGTTGATGAAACGATCTTTTTTCAGATACAAACAGACGTTGTTCTTCTTCAGCGGTGAAGTTCTGTCACTTTCATTTCCTCGAGTGTGACACCGAAACACTTCTGTGTTGCTCCGCCTCGCACTGCGCATGCGTCACTTCGTTTTAGTTGAGTTTAGAAAAAGGAGGTAGTTATAAGCACGTGACGTAGGTGCAAAGATCGAGAAGGGTCGAGTGGTCTGTCTGCAGGCTGCAAGAGGTGTGAGAGGGGCTTTCTTTAAAAGCAAACGATTATTATTTTTATTTAAACGATGTTTTAGTTCACCAAGCGTTAAAAACAGGGTAAACGGAGGTGTTAGTTTAATTAAGTAGCCTATATGTGACATTTATCCTATTTTCGTTAAATATTCATAGATAATTATGTCTCCTTACTGAAATTATTTGACTTTATTACATGCTAGATTTCATAATTATTATATTTTTGATTCAATTTTGTGTATAAAAATAAAAATATTCCCTTTTTTATTCACTCTCAGCTCCATCCAACAATCTGCACAGACAGGCTGCCGGGCGTCTACTGCGGATATGCTTGTAGGATACTACAGCTTTTATGTTGCTGGAGGCACTTCTGAATTATGTTTCATAAATAAAAATGTTCATTTAGTTTTGCCTTTGTTTTAAGCTTTGAAAAATGAATTTAAGCCAGAAAGATTTGGAAAAGTCACGGACTTGTATTATATGAGGTCTATTTATGATGTTTAATTTTGTAATATAATTAAATATCCAATCAAACATCAAGTAGCCTAATGATATTCAGCCCTACATTTTACTGCTTATGTTTGTATGTTTTCATTTGTCTTTCAGACATTAACACATATTTGTCCTTTTTTATGCTGTTGTTTGAGTAACTTTGCTGTTGTGTGGGTAATTAAGAAAATACATTTTATAAATTTACTGAATACAAACGACTTTACTTTGTATATTAACCCAAAATAAATGGAGGCTTCATCATTGTTAATGTTAATGAAATATGTACTTTTTGTCAAATGACTAAAAAGAAAAGACCCACCCAAAGATTTCAACACCAATAGGCTGATAGGCACTATGATGGCAGGAGTGGTCAAATATTCAAAATGTCCCGAGGTGAAACACACCTGTAATGATCACATTTCAGATATAACACCAGGACAAATACACAAAGGCAAAATACATATAGTCAAAACATTATTTATTTACCGCACTAATACAAGAGACATCGTATAAAAACATCAACACAGACAAATCCAAAAAGCAGACAGCGTTAAAATGTGAAGAGCAGGAAACACATGTGATTACCACAGATGTTCATCATGTTTACATGTTCTACGTTTAGATTCATTTTTACAGATGTGCGTCCAAGTTTTAACAACATACCCATTTAAATAGTTTATATTTGAAACATTTGAAACAAGGTCGCTTCATGTCTCGTCATTTAAAGCGGTCATCACCCTCTCATGTTTTCTCATCAATTTAACATTTTTAACATTTTTTAGGAGAAATGTTTTTTGAAGATTGTTTAGAGGAAATATTTAATGTGGTATTCCTGATTGAGGCCTTCAGGCATTAAAGTCTGGAGAGTGAATGTGTGGAAACTCTCTCTTTGAAGTCAGAGGGAATTTAAATCAGCTTTTCTTCTGGATAAACGTCGCTGAGTTTAAACACACGTCTTGAGTTTCTATGAGACTTTAATGACACTGAGCACAGATCCATTAGTTTAGAGGGGACATATTATGAACACTTCTACAGTGTTCTTGAACATATAATTGGGTAACCTGAGTGTCTACTGACCCACAAAATGTGAAATAAACCCATCCAGTCCTTTGTTTGTGGTCTGCATAAGTCTTACAACACAGAGAAAAATGCTCCGTTCCAAATATGCTCTCCTTGTGATGTCACAGTGGGATTCTGGTAAAAAAAATCCCCTCCCCTCCCCTGGTATCTCCACCCATGGACTCCTCCCCCAGCCTAGAGCAAAACTTTTGTGCAGGTCCGCCATTTTTATTCTTGCTACAGAGGATTGATGTCGACTAGGAAAACTCAGGGGGGCTCATTGCATTTAAAGAGACACACACACCAAAATGGAGCGTTCTGAGAGAGCTGGTTTATACAGGGTCATAAACTTCCTCTGGTGCTTGATTCATGTTATATTTTGACCAAAGCACAGCACAGATGTTTCATTTAGACCACAGGGGGACTGTTTGAAAAGATGGAGAAGAGGGATAATATGTCCTCTTTAATTTGATTGAGCATCGTTAGGATATTTTACATGAAATTAAAACGAGCTCAAGATGAGAATAAAGGAAACACAGCACCAACAGAACATTACATAAAGTACATATTTTGTTACTGGTCGTGCACTGGTTTAAAGCTGTGGTCACTTTGTGAAGGCACATTTACACTCCAGCTTGCACACTGCACTTTAAAGAAAACACATACTGCACAGAAAACACCCGACTGCTTAACGGAACGGCATTCAAATCATCTTCTGCGTTTAACATCTCTCTGTTGTGCAATCTAATGCAGAGTAGCAGCTGCAGGCAGAACCTGGAGGACATACACTACAAACAAAACATCCAAATACTCAATAAAAACTTCAGACAAAACCAAGATACCTTAGTGTGCAAATTGATGATGTGACTCCATAAAGTGCCCACACCACGGCCTTTAAACCGGTGCACGACTAGGAAGGAAGTACCTCTTCGTTACAACGTTTCATCATCATTTTCATCATATGATTCACTAGATCGTCTTCCTCCGAGCTATCAAACTTGTTAACATACAGTGACTGAACTGAGAAACCCAAATACACGTAACAGTCCAGTGTCTCAGTTTGTTCTAGAGGAGAACACCCAGCCTACCTATTTGTATAAGGACAAGTATGGAGCAAGTAAAGTGATGCCACACACCACAGCTTTTACAGCCGAAGCTAATTTGCATCGCCCGTCCCTAGATGGGTCTGTAAAACACATCCAAGTCAACAACAGATGAACAGACCCAAACAAGCACAGCAACAATAGACAGAAGAGTACAGGAAACAAACTATAGTACAATAAAACAAAGTAAAACAGGAAGAGCAAGATCAAATATGACCACAAGACTGAGTCCTCTTTATGAACTGTTCCAGTTTGAGTTTAGAATGGCTCCAGTCTGGATCCAGTTTGAGCTCTCCACTTGTTGATCCCCTGCACAGAGATGGATGTTTGTCCGAGATCTCAAATCAATGAAAAATCTATGGGTAGGTGTGTTAATGGTGCTCTCCGCCTCCCCACCAACACAAAGCTTATCTCACATTGAGATCATTTCATGATTTATTTACTGTGTTTGGCTCACAGGAGTGATGATCAGAGGGGCACGGTCATCTAAACAGGGACCAAAGATAGGGAAGAGTTTCTCAGTGAAGTTACAGCCGGTGAAGGAGTAGATGAGAGCTGCTGCATCTACATCATAGAAAGAGACCACACCCTCCTCGTAATCCACAAACACGCCCACCTTCTGAGGCTTCGACTTCAGAGAGAGGAGAACACCGACAGCTTTGTACTCGCCTCCATTCATCAACCTCAGAATCCAAGGGCCTGTCTCTAGTCTTGGTGAGATTGGTTCCTTCCTGTTAATCGACCCTCGGGCCACTCCTAATTCCCATTTATTTTTATTTTTAACCTCAACCTCAAAATAAATCTTTCCTACAGAAATATTCTCCTTACCCATAACACAAACCGTCTCAGAAAACCTCTCTGGGTTGTCTGGGCGATTCTTTCTTTTACCATAATATACTTGTTTCCCGTCATCAGACAGAATGAGAAATGGATGTGCAGTATCAGGATCCAGAGTGATGTCCACTGCATACTGCTGGATCCTCATCAGCTCAGACTCAAGCTGCTTCTTTACCTCTTCACTGAGTATCTCCTCCAGCTGAGCCACAGTGCTCCTCACCATCCCCTCATACGATGAGTGAACTCTGACCTCCGTCCAGTCTTTAGTGGGTGGGTGATCAGGGTTCAGGGATGGGAGGTTTTGGAGGAACTGGAGGTGGTCTTCAGTGCTTAAGAGCTGCTCCACTTCAGTGTTTCTCTCCATCAGCTCAGAGATTTCATCTTCCAGCTCTTTGATGAAGCCTTCAGCCTTCTCCTCTGTTGTTTTCTGCTTCTCCTCAAGTAAGTCAAGAAGTTGAGCCAGGCCTTCCTCGACAGACCGGATCAGAGCTGTGAAGACCTGCACGCTGTCTGATTTCTCCCGGTCAGTATCTGCCCTGCTGAGCTCCACTGAATCCTTCATCTCCTGAATCTTCAGATGCCTCTCCTCCATCATTTTCTGAATTTCAGCCTCCGTCTCACTCAGCTCAGCCTTCTTCTTTTCATATTGCTCCATCAAGGGAACAATACAGTGAAGCTTGTGATTTGATTCAGTGCATCTTCGACACACACACATCTGATCCGTCTTGCAGAACATCTCCAGAGGTCTGCCGTGACTTTCACACATTCTGTCCTGCAGGTTCTCCATAGGATCGACCAGCTCGTGTTTCATCGGACCTGTCATGTTCTGATGAATCTCCAGGTGAGTCTCACAGTAGGAGGTCAGACACACCAGGCAGGACTTGAGAGCCTTCATTTTGGTTTCAGTGCAGACGTCACACAGAACTTCTCCAGAGTTGGTGTTTTCCTTCAGAGACATTCTGCTGCTTCTCTTTACAGTCGACTGTCTGAACTGAGCAGCCATCTCTGATATGAACGTGTTGACTCGAAGCTGAGGACGTTTTTCAAACACATCTTTACACATGGGACACTCACACTGATCATTAACATCCCAGTGATGAGTGATGCAGCTCTTGCAGAAGTTGTGTCCACATGGTATGGAGACTGGATCAGTGAACACATCCAGACAGATGGAGCACAGAAACTGCTCTTCAGATAGCATGCAGCTGGCGGCAGACATTTCTAGAAACGGAGAGAAAAACCAATCGATAACGTGAAACATGTTGAAACAAGGAACTCTAACAAATCTTATATTTATATACCAATGTCTATAAAGCCTTTGCATTGTGGGAAACAGTACATGAGAGAGACTTCTCTGATGCAGACTGTAGATTTGTCACGTATCAGCACAACATCCGGTTTTCTTTTGGCATACTGCAGATCTCGCATTTGTTCGCATACTGCGCTTTAACCAAATCGGTATGAACTACTGGTGCTGTAGGTGGTTTGATTGACCACCTACAGTAACAGTGACCTCCCTCACATCATGGTGGATTCATGTTGGCTCTCTGTAAATAATATATTTAAATGTATGGTCTGGACCTGCTCTTTAAAAAGGAAACGTGAGCAGTAGGAACTGTGGTTAATAAAGACTGATAAATGGTGATCTAGTAGCTGAGGAGAAGAGCGAGCTTATTATTTATTTTTAAAAAGTGGACAAAATTAAACTCTGAGTAGATTAAAATATAACTGAACTAACAAACACAATATGTAGGCTACAGAATGTTAAAAAACGAATTCAAGGTGAAACCTTTAAACAAAACAGTGTTTGCTGCCATCATGCGGCCATGAGATGTAACTGCAGCATCTCTTTGTAGACATTCTGACTTTTATTATTTAATCACAGCAAAGGACTTGTTATTATCTAACCTATGATTTACGTCATATATTTATCTACGTCTGTGGTCATAGTCTGATAAATGTTGAAGTCTGCTTGATTTTAAAAAGCTCTCAGTATTTGGTGTATTAGAAGATATTTTTATATTGGACAAAATGTTTCTGTGTACACCTGACACACCTGACAAAGACTACGTCATCACGCTGACGTTCAGACATTTAATCTCCAGTAAAGTTAGCTTTATTCAGATGAGTTCACAGGTATTTCACCTGTCTGAATAATAATTACTTCTATCAATGCCCGGAGCAGCAACAGAAACACTGTCAGACTTCTTCACTTCTTCTCTGAAACTCTTTGAGCCCTGATTGAAAACTTGAATACAGCTCTATTCTTTCTCTCGCTCTCTCTTTTTATCAAAGCCTACGGTTACTTATCATGCTCACCTGTGCGGATGCGACTTCGTGACGTCAGACAGGTAAAGGAGTTGATGAAACGATCTTTTTTCAGACACAAACAGACGTTGTTCTTCTTCAGCGGTGAAGTTCTGTCACTTTCATTTCCTCGAGTGTGACACCGAAACACTTTTCTCGGTGTTGCTCCGCCTCGCACTGCGCATGCGTCACTTCGTTTTAGTTGAGTTTAGAAAAAGGAGGTAGTTATAAGCACGTGACGTAGGTGCAAAGATCGAGAAGGGTCGAGTGGTCTGTCTGCAGGCTGCAAGAGGTGTGAGAGGGGCTTTCTTTAAAAGCAAACGATTATTATTTTTATTTAAACGATGTTTTAGTTCACCAAGCGTTAAAAACAGGGTAAACGGAGGTGTTAGTTTAATTAAGTAGCCTATATGTGACATTTATCCTATTTTCGTTAAATATTCATAGATAATTATGTCTCCTTACTGAAATTATTTGACTTTATTACATGCTAGATTTCATAATTATTATATTTTTGATTCAATTTTGTGTATAAAAATAAAAATATTCCCTTTTTTATTCACTCTCAGCTCCATCCAACAATCTGCACAGACAGGCTGCCGGGCGTCTACTGCGGATATGCTTGTAGGATACTACAGCTTTTATGTTGCTGGAGGAACTTCTGAATTATGTTTCATAAATAAAAATGTTCATTTAGTTTTGCCTTTGTTTTAAGCTTTGAAAAATGAATTTAAGCCAGAAAGATTTGGAAAAGTCATGGACTTGTATTATATGAGGTCTATTTATGATGTTTAATTTTGTAATATAATTAAATATCCAATCAAACATCAAGTAGCCTAATGATATTCAGCCCTACATTTTACTGCTTATGTTTGTATGTTTTCATTTGTCTTTCAGACATTAACACATATTTGTCCTTTTTTATGCTGTTGTTTGAGTAACTTTGCTGTTGTGTGGGTAATTAAGAAAATACATTTTATAAATTTACTGAATACAAACGACTTTATTTTGTATATCAACCCAAAATAAATGGAGGCTTCATCATTGTTAATGTTAATGAAATATGTACTTTTTGTCAAATGACTAAAAAGAAAAGAAAACACCAATAGGCTGATAGGCACTATGATGGCAGGAGTGGTCAAATATTCAAAATGTCCCGAGGTGAAACACACCTGTAATGATCACATTTCAGATATAACACCAGGACAAATACACAAAGGCAAAATACATATAGTCAAAACATTATTTATTTACCGCACTAATACAAGAGACATCGTATAAAAACATCAACACAGACAAATCCAAAAAGCAGACAGCGTTAAAATGTGAAGAGCAGGAAACACATACTTTCATTACAGATGTTCATCATGTTTACATGTTCTACGTTTAGATTCATTTTTACAGATGTGCGTCCAAGTTTTAACAACATACCCATTTAAATAGTTTATATTTGAAACATTTGAAACAAGGTCGCTTCATGTCTCGTCATTTAAAGCGGTCATCACCCTCTCATGTTTTCTCATCAATTTAACATTTTTAACATTTTTTAGGAGAAATGTTTTTTGAAGATTGTTTAGAGGAAATATTTAATGTGGTATTCCTGATTGAGGCCTTCAGGCATTAAAGTCTGGAGAGTGAATGTGTGGAAACTCTCTCTTTGAAGTCAGAGGGAATTTAAATCAGCTTTTCTTCTGGATAAACGTCGCTGAGTTTAAACACACGTCTTGAGTTTCTATGAGACTTTAATGACACTGAGCACAGATCCATTAGTTTAGAGGGGACATATTATGAACACTTCTACAGTGTTTCTGAACATATATTTGGGTAACCTGAGTGTCTACTGACCCACAAAATGTGAAATAAACCCATCCAGTCCTTTGTTTGTGGTCTGCATAAGTCTTACAACACAGAGAAAAATGCTCCGTTCCAAATATGCTCTCCTTGTGATGTCACAGTGGGATTCTGGTAAAAAATCCCCTCCCCTCCCCTGGTATCTCCACCCATGGACTCATCCCCCAGCCTAGAGCAAAACTTTCAGACAAAACCAAGATACCTTAGTGTGCAAATTGATGATGTGACTCCATCAAGTGCCCACACCACGGCCTTTAAACCGGTGCACGACTAGGAAGGACGTACCTCTTCGCTACAACGTTTCATCATCATTTTCATCATATGATTCACTAGATCGTCTTCCTCCGAGCTATCAAACTCGTTAACATACAGTGACTGAACTGAGAACCCCAAATACACGTAACAGTCCAGTGTCTCAGTTTGTTCTAGAGGAGAACACCCAGCCTACCTATTTGTATAAGGACAAGTATGGAGCAAGTAAAGTGATGCCACACACCACAGCTTTTACAGCCGAAGTTAATTTGCATCGCCCGTCCCTAGATGGGTCTGTAAAAGACATCAAAGTCAACAACAGATGAACAGACCCAAACAAGCACAGCAACAATAGACAGAAGAGTACAGGAAACAAAGTATCGTACAATAAAACAAAGTAAAACAGGAAGAGCAAGATCAAATATGACCACAAGACTGAGTCCTCTTTATGAACTGTTCCAGTTTGAGTTTAGAATGACTCCAGTCTGGATCCAGTTTGAGCTCTCCACTTGTTGATCCCCTGCACAGAGATGGATGTTTGTCCGAGATCTCAAATCAATGAAAAATCTATGGGTAGGTGTGTTAATGGTGCTCTCCGCCTCCCCACCAACACAAAGCTTATCTCACATTGAGATCATTTAATGATTTATTTACTCACAGGAGTGATGATCAGAGGGGCACGGTCATCTGAACAGGGACCAAAGATAGGGAAGAGTTTCTCAGTGAAGTTACAGCCGGTGAAGGAGTAGATGAGAGCTGCTGCATCTACATCATAGAAAGAGACCACACCCTCCTCGTAATCCACAAACACGCCCACCTTCTGAGGCTTCGACTTCAGAGAGAGGAGAACACTGACAGCTTTGTAATCACCTCCATTCCTCAACATCAGAATCCAAGGGCCTGTCTCTAGTCTTGGTGAGATTGGTTCCTTCCTGTTAATCGACCCTCGGGCCACTCCTAATTCCCATTTATTTTTATTTTTAACCTCAACCTCAAAATAAATCTTTCCTACAGAAATATTCTCCTTACCCATAACACAAACCGTCTCAGAAAACCTCTCTGGGTTGTCTGGGCGATTCTTTCTTTTACCATAATATACTTGTTTCCCGTCATCAGACAGAATGAGAAATGGATTTGCAGTATCAGGATCCAGAGTGATGTCCACTGCATACTGCTGGATCCTCATCAGCTCAGACTCAAGCTGCTTCTTTACCTCTTCACTGAGTTCTCCTCCAGCTGAGCCACAGCGCTCCTCACCATCCCCTCATACGATGAGTGAACTCTGACCTCTGTAGAGTCTTTAGTGGGTGGGTGATCAGGGTTCAGGGATGGGAGGTTTTGGAGGAACTGGAGGTGGTCTTCAGTGCTTAAGAGCTGCTCCACTTCAGTGTTTCTCTCCATCAGCTCAGAGATTTCATCTTCCAGCTCTTTGATGAAGCCTTCAGCCTTCTCCTCTGTTGTTTTCTGCTTCTCCTCAAGTAAGTCAAGAAGCTGAGCCAGGCCTTCCTCGACAGACCGGATCAGAGCTGTGAAGACCTGCACGCTGTCTGATTTCTCCCGGTCAGTATCTGCCCTGCTGAGCTCCACTGAATCCTTCATCTCCTGAATCTTCAGATGTCTCTCCTCGATCATTTTCTGAATTTCAGTCTCCGTCTCACTCAGCTCAGCCTTCTTCTTTTCAAATTGCTCCATCAAGGGAACAATACAGTGAAGCTTGTGATTTGATTCAGTGCAGCTGAGACACACACACATCTGATCCGTCTTGCAGAACATCTCCAGAGGTCTGCTGTGACCTTCACACATTCTGTCCTGCAGGTTCTCCATAGGATCAACCAGCTCGTGTTTCATCCGACCTGTCATGTTCTGATGAAACTCCAGGTGAGTCTCACAGTAGGAGGTCAGACACATTAGGCAGGACTTTAGAGCCTTCACTTTGGATTCAGTGCAGACGTCACACAGAACTTCTCCAGAGTTGGTGTTTTTCTTCAGAGACATTCTGCTGTTTCTCTTCACAGCCGACTGTCTGAACTGAACAGCCATCTCTGATATGAACGTGTTGACGTGAAGCTCAGGTCTACTGTTAAAAACCTTTGAACACAATGGACACTGACACGGGGCATTAACATCCCAGTGATGAGTGATGCAGCTCTTGCAGAAGTTGTGTCCACATGGTATGGAGACTGGATCAGTGAACACATCCAGACAGATGGAGCACAGAAACTGATCTTTAGAAAACATGCAGCTGGTGGCAGACATTTCTAGAAACGGAGAGAGAGAAAAAGAAAATAAATCAACCTTTCAAAGATAGAAGTCTGAGGGGAGACTTCAATTATAAACTAATTGAAAACACTCAGTAATGTGGCAAATTCTGAAACCATCCGGTCTTTGTTTTGTGAACAAACACGGTCTCCATCTCAATTTTTTGTCTCGGTCTCGGACTGGGCAGACTCCAGATTGAAATTTATTTTTTGCCTTTCTTAGAGGGCAGCTGAAGAGAGACAGGAAATATAGGGAGCAGAACTTGGGGAGCATGACATGCAGGAAAGGGCAGAGGTCGGACTCAAACCCAAGGCCGCTGCAACAAGGACTATAGCCTCCGTACATGGGGAATGCAATTTAAACACTAGGCAATTGGCGTCCCATTAGACCTACTTTCAAACTTACATCAACTAGACATCAAAATCAGGCAGGTGAGTGTGAAGACAGGAGACAGAAATAAACAATGAGCAGAATCGAAATAATGAGAGACACTTTTATGACAGTGTTTGCTGCCATCGTGTGGCCATAAGTGGTCACTTCAGTGGGATCTACACTTTGTAGACTCACTTTTAATTGTGGACAGATGTTCGGTGAATTAAAGATATTCTTATATTTTAGACACAATGCCTGTGGTGTTAATGAGACTTGAACCAGCAAACAAAAGACCACGCTGATACAGACATCCATACTCTTAAATCTGGTAAGATCCAAAGAGTTCTCAATTATTCCCCATGTCTCAATAATTGTGGTCTGATTTTGAATATTTGTGTCCATAAAGGAAGAAAAACTTCTCATATGATTTACTTCAGTCCTCTGAAACTCTTTCAACCTCTGACTGAAAACAGGAAAAGGAATTTCTTAAAATGCTGTTTTAAACACTCTAAATATTATTAATATTAATGCACTCACCTGTGTGTAACTGCAAAACTTCGGCGTGTATCAGGAAGCCTAAAGGTCTGATTAAATGATCTCGTAAGTTAGATAGAAAGCGACCTTCCTGTTCTCCAGCGATTTCTTTCACTTTCATTTCCTGGAGTTTGACACCGAAACACTCCTCCAAGTGCTGCTCCGCCTTCACTGCACTGACGTGATCCTTCATGAGCTCCAAAGTTAACTCTTCAACAGATATTATTTAGCCCAACAATTTCCGTGAAATCTTCTTAATATGATCGTTTAAGAGTCACATGTCAGCAGGTTTCAGCAGAGATATATTGTTCGGGAATACGGGAGGCCGTTTGAGCATTTATTCGATATCCATAACAAGCATTAGTTTCCTGCACTAATTCAGCCTTTGACAGTACTAGTGAAAGCTGAAAGCATTACTTGTTACCATAGGCTGTACATATTGATGGAAGAAGACTGAGTGACATTACCCTGTTCCTGCAGGGGGCTCTGGAGTCCCATTGATGGCAGTCTCCATCCGGGAAATGCTGTCTCTCTCAATGTAACTTTCGGTTAACCTCAGGACAGGCTGAGTGCTGGAGCTGAGGCAGGTTTTAAGCCTCTTAACAAACCGTTGCATCGTGCCCACCTGTCAATCATGTCAGCTACACATCGAACTACTGATCACATGTATCGTTCATAAAGTCAAAACTGAGCTGTTAGAAAAAAGAATTCACCCCCCGTACAGTGTGTGACAATAACTAATAAACCTTATTTTGTTTTTTTGAACCAGGCTGTTAACATGTTAATTTCTGCTTTTAAAACAAATGTTTTTTTAATATGATGTGTATGTGACTTCTGATGCTCTTGAAGCCAGCCTCAAGTGGACACTCTTAGAACTGCCGGATGTTGAAATTCTGCATCAGCTTCATTTTTCAACACCGGAGGTTGCTGCCTGTTTGTTACGTATTGTGTTTCTATGGAAAGCCATTTGAGCATTTATTCAATATCCATGATATCAATCTTCAGTTTGCTGCTGTAGTCCGGTCTTCTGCAGCACTAGTTTATCAGTTCATCGCGAAAAGCTTTACTGGTAATATAGTTGACAGCAAAAACTCCTACATGTAAACTAGTAAAGCTGAAGAATGTTTATAAGTTAATTGGTCAAATCTAACATGTTAATGAGTCAATTAGTAAGCTAAAATGATGTTTACTAGCTCACTAGTAAAGCTTTTTGCTATCAGCTTGTAAACTACTGCTGCCAAAAATCCAACTAATTCAGGAAACTGAAGATTGATATCCAGGATATCAAATACATGTTCAAATTGCTTTCCATACACATCAAAAGCAAAGACATGTTAATGAGTAATGTCCAAAACAAACACTAGTTTGACTAGTAAGATGGTATTTTTAACTATTAGTTAGTTGGTAAATATTTTAAGCATCACTTGTTAACTCATAAGGTTAAAAACCAGTAAACCATTTTGGCCTACCAAGATAACTAGTCAAGATTTTCAACATGACTAATTAACTAGTGACCGTAACTCCAAAACGCCCTTACTAGTGCTACAAGAGGATATTGTGTCTGTTACTAGTTAACTCATAAATATATCATTTTTGCTGTCTACTACCTAGCTAGTAAGGCTTTCAGTTTTTAATTAGTGAACTAGTACACATATGGTAATATGGTAGTTGGCTGAAATTATATTCCAAAGGGCCACTTTATTGAAAAATGTTGTGACGAACTGATCAGGCACATTAGGTTTTTAAGGTTAAATTCAGTTCTTTAAAGGTCCAATCATAGAGATGTGTAGTGAGTGAAATGATAAAGTGACCTTACTATATGATCAGACATTAATGAAACATGCTATGTTGAAGTGCTTCTCTGACAAAAATGCAGCAGTCAGTATGTCTTCCTTCTAACTTTAGATTCTGCTCCTGAATGCTCTGGATTTTTTTTGGACCAAAGAAGGTAGGCGGTTTTAAGGCACCCCCACACGGCCATTTTGGACGCCCCTCGGTTTGCCAGATATGAGAGCAGTTATCAGGTCAAAGCAACAGGTGTTGCAGCGATGGAAGCGGGCAAGAGAAGTGGTTCAGGTAGAAGTGATTGTACCCGACCTAAAAAGCCTCTGCATGTTTCTAATAAGCTCCATGAGCAGAAACGTGTTCAAACTAGGATCAATTTTGGAGATGCTTTTGAAAAATGGAGAGAGGTTAGAACACAGAAAGGTTTACAGAACGATGCAGAGCTGGCTAAACACTGAAGCTTCAGTGTCCACCACATGGCAACCTGCGTGAGCATCGACTCTAGAGAGGAGGGGGTGGGGGGAGACAGCTCTCTCCAATGTTTAGAATTTGGACTGCAGTACCAATTTTAAACACTAGGTGTCAGAGTTACATATTGCTCCTTTAAGCAAAGTTAACAAGACTGACAGGTACATGGTCAACATTTCATAAATTCAAGCAGAGCTTTGTTGCAAGAAATATCTTTAATTGACACAAGCATCACATATCAGTCTTATATTTTCATTTAGACAATGATCATTTACAGTGAGATTTGATTCTTCTGTGATTCCACAAGTTATGGTGGAATGCGTGTGAGTATTGTTTAATAATCACTAGACAATAGACTGTATTGAAAGTTGGATGACATGGCCACTCACTACAAGTGAAGCCAAAAGATTTGGAGCTACCCCTACTAACTGGTTGCACTGCCGGCCATAAGCCCCGCCTCCTCCATGCCAACAGATGAGGCATGGGTCAAACTATAAAATCCATAACCGTAAGTGTCTGCTTGAATCCGACACAAAAATCTGCTCAACTGTGGCCAGGTGCAACCCCAAAATCCTTGAATGTTATTCAAGGATGAGTGTGGTATAGAGGTAACTAACACACAAATAGTTCAAGAAAGAATAAAAGTACTGTTAGGGAGCAGGCAGGAGATGTGGTCGAGACAGCAGCAGGTTTGGATACAGGTCAGCAGTCCATATAAACAAAAAACTCCAGTTACGGGAGGGGAGAAGACGAATTTGAACCAAGAGGAGGGTAAGGAAGGTAAGCAGGTTAGTTTAAAGATGTAGCGACACGGTGAAGGTCTCAAAACCTCTGGAATCAACAGGTAAGGACACATGTAAACTTGCTATGTGGAGCCCTGGGGGAGAGGAAGAAAGAAGCCAGGGACGCTGAGCCATAACTCGTGGTCATGGACACAAGGCTGAGCCGATTTCCTGGATTACAATAAGACGCAATTGTCAGAGGCACACAGGGTCAGCAACTGGTAATTAATCCAAAGAAGAGTGCTGGGAAGTCTTGGATGAGATGGTGAAGTGCAATCCGGAGAAGCAAAGCGGCACAACTTCATCAGCTAACAAGGTGCATGAAGAGTGAAAGGCTTGAAGAGGTCAAAAAGCTCCAGCAACACTTGTAGTATGAAGATCAACTTTATTAACAAATTAGACCGACGCGTTTCGGCTTGTGGCCTTCATCAGGGTTGTGATGATCAATCTGGCAAAGAGTGAGTGAGCTTGAGAGGCTTATATCCTAGCTTGACTGTACATCTACAGCAGCTGTGTGCAAAGGGGAGCTGAGTTGACTGTTGAGGTGAGTGTGGCCAGCACAGGTGAGGTGGGTGCAAAATGGCTGAGATCCAAGAAGCTGAACTGCAACATTTAATGGTTAAATACTAAAACCTTTGTCACTGACAGAAGAGATGATTAGAGGGGCAGAGTTTTTGCCATTGTCAAGATTACAGGGACGGAAGTATGGGTAGAGTTTGCAACCAAAGTTACAGCCAGTGAAGGAGTAGATGAGAGCTGCTGCATCTACATCATAGAAGGAGACCACACCCTCCTCATAATCAACAAACACCCCAACCTTCTGTGGCTGCGACTTCAGAGAGAGGAAGACAGAGGGACCAGCAAACGCTCTGTATTCACTTCCATTCCTCAGCCAAATTGCCCAGAATCCATTCCTTGGGCTGAGTGTGATTTGTCCCTTCCTGTTCACCCACTCTCTGGCTATTCCTAATTCCCATTTAGTTTTACCTTTAACCTGAACCTCAAAATAAAACTTTCCAGAAGAAAAACTCTGTTTTCCCAAAACACAAGCACAAGTAGAAAACCTCTTTTGGATGTCTGGGAGATTGTGTTTTGCATCGCAATAGTTCACTTGTTTCCCGTCATTTTTCAGAATCAGTTTGGAATTTGCTGTATCAGGATCCAGAGTGATATCCACTGCATACTGCTGGATCCTCCTCAGCTCAGACTCAAGCTGCTTCTCCACCTCTTCACTGAGTTTCTCCTCCAGCTGAGCCACAGCTCTCCTCACCATCCCCTCATACGATGAGTGAACTCTGACCTCCGTCCAGTCTTTAGTGGGTTGAGCAGCGTTAAGTGATGGGAGGTTTTGGAGGAACTGGAGGTGGTCTTCAGTGCGTGTGAGCAGCTCGACTTCGGTGCTTCTCTCCATCAGCTCAGAGATTTCATCTTCCAGCTCTTTGATAAAGCCTTCAGCCTTCTCCTCTTTTGTTTTCTGCTTCTCCTCAATAAGCACAAGTAGCTGAGCCAGGTGATTCTCAACATTTTGGATCAGAGCTGTGAAGACCTGCACGCTGTCTGATTTCTCTCGCTCTGTATCTTCCCGGCTGAGCTCCACTGAATCCTTCATCTCCTGAATCTTCAGGCGTCTCTCCTCGATCATTTTCTGAATTTCCTCCTCTGTCTCTCCCAGCACAGCCTTTTGGCTCTGATATTCATCCATTAGAGTAACAATACGATGTGGCTTATGATCTATATTGATGCATCTTCGACACACACACATCTGATCCGTCTCACAGAACATCTCCAGAGGTTTGCTGTGACTTTTACAGATTCTGTCCTCCAGATTCTCCACAGGATCGATCAACTCGTGTCTCTTCAGGCCTGGGATTCTGTGATGAGGCTCCAGGTGAGTCTCACAGTAGGAGGTCATACACATCAGGCAGGACTTTAGAGCCTTCGTTTTGGATTCAGTGCAGACGTCACACAGAACTTCTCCAGAGTTGGTGTGTTTCTTCAGAGACATTCTGCTGCTTTTCTTTTTTGTTGACTGTCTGAAATTAGCAGCCATCTCTGATATGAACGTGTTGACGTGGAGCTCAGGTCTACTGTGATGAACTGTCTTACACATGGGACACTCACAGGTCTTATTAACATCCCAGTGATGAGTAATGCAGTTCTTGCAGAAGTTGTGTCCACATGGTATGGAGACTGGATCAGTGAACACATCCAGACAGATGGAGCACCGAAACTGCTCTTCAGAGAGGAAAGTGCAGGCAGAAGCCATTTTGTATGTCGGACCTGAGAAAAAAAACAAAGAAAATCTGGTACATGAACAAGCAAATGGAAGAATTGTTCAAAGTAAAGTTCTTAGCAGCAAGTTACAGAACTGAATTAGGGCCAGACAATAGGTTTAAAAAACTACGGATGTAAAATCATTTTATTTTGGGCCGGCCTTAAAGTTTTTAGTTACAAAAACAGTTTGCCCAAACGTGACAAATAACCTGAATCGCCTTTTTGACCACCTAAACATGCTCAGAAACACTTTGCACCGCAGCTGAAGTGTATATTCCACATGCATCATTCAAGTGGGTGTTGGTGAATACCTCAAAAGCTTCACCTTCATGTATGACATTTGGTAAGCAGATGTATCAAGTCCAGCGCTACAAAAAAGTCCCACCTTTTCAAAATCTATTTTTATCTATTTTGTTCGAAGTTGAAATTTAGGTGCATTTTTGCCCATTTCGAGGGGCCGTACTTGGATTAACTCCTCCCTAATCAAGCTGAAATTTGGTGCACAGGTAGAGGAAACCTTGATGATGAAAATACATCAAACTCGTGTACAAATCTCAAAGGGTGTGGTCATGGCAGCTCACCAAATTTGATTTCATGACATGAAACAGGATGTGGCTGTTACTCAAAACTACTGGGTCCAAACTGAGACACACTTTACATATGTGACGAAAGATACCTTTTACACACACTGTTAGATTCTGAGTTACCCCTGTACAGGAGGTACTGGACCAGCTCTCTGTGTAAGGTGTCAAGCTCAAGTGTGAACGCCCTTAAACACATCTTTTGTATTGTTCTTCCCCTGTGTATTTTCTGTTCTTATTGCTGATTAAAGTTTCTAGAGCTTCCTGTTTTATTTTCTCTATTGTATATCTTTGTTTTCTGTTTCCTGGGTATTTTTCTGTTCATGATCCTGTCTTTAGTTTTCAGTGTTTCCGGTTTATGTTGTTTTTCCCCCTGTGTATCATGTCTTTCCTGTTTCCTCCTGCCTGTGTGTTTCCTTCCAGTTCTGATTGCCCTGATTGTCTTCACCTGTGTGGTTTTTCCATCTGTGTTTGATTGCCCCTAGGCTCTGGCTGAATCTCGATGAGAACCTCCCTGAACCCTGAACCCTAAACGTGACTTCTCTGTAACCATGACAGAATGATTTCTCTGCTGTAGGATAAATAAAGGTTTATCTTATAGGGACCAACACGCTCTCTGTCTCTCTTGTTTTAACTTGCAGAAAAGTTCTGAATTAGCTTTCCCTGGGAATCTTATGTTTCACGTCACAACGCAATGAACTCTGGGTAATTCCCTCACACTAAGTCTGCAGATATGCCCACTTACGGACAGGGTGCATAACAGGCTGGAAAAGTCAGAGAGAGATTCCTCACACACTTAAGGATTCGACAGTGGGACAGCACCAAGCCCTCACAGACTGAGCGGGAACGTACATCAAAGTCAGTGAGCGTGTGAGGGCGGACATCGAGATTCTGCCTCTTTCTTCCCCTCTGTGTCACTTCATCGTCAGTCGTCTATACAACACGTGGTCCGGTATCGTCAGATTTTCTCTCTGGCTCCCTGAGGTTTGTTTGGTTTTTTTTTGCAGATTTTGGTGATTTTGGTTTAATTGTGAAAGTAAGCTTTTAGACTTTTGCTAAATAAATGATTTTGGTTTTCTGCAGTTGGGTCCACCTCTTTGTTTTTTCAATGAACGTGACAGAACTCATGTTGTCCAAGTAAACTCAAATGAATATTTCTGTTAATATTTTCTGTATTTCACTCCATCACAGACTTTCTTTTTCTATCTCTAATCTCAAAATGCAAACATGCAATCTTCCTTCTGTTTTATTAACCCTTAATGTTGACATAATTCTTGTTAAAAAAAAAAAAATCTTCCTCATCTCAATGTCATGAGTCTTTGAATACTGCAAAGACATTTACCAACACTTCAGGTACTAATTGAAAATGTCTCTTTGTAATTCTCCATCAGCACACATCATCATCACCAGCAGTATGTTTTTGTTCTTTTCCAATAAATGTATTTGATGTACTCACCTCGGCCGGATTTAAAGGTCTGATGAAGTGAGTTTGATCTTCCTCCGAGAGACACAGAAAGCCTCACACGTCGTCCCTCTATTTATTTGGTTTAACCTGAAGAACGAGGGGAAGTTAAGACATGTCTCCGCCTCTCACTGTTGCAGGTTTGTTAACCCTTTCAGGTGAAAGATAATGGATGGAACAATAGAGGCATAAAGATGGATAACAGTGTTCACAAAAGAGGCTCACACGACACCTGTGTGCATATTTTGTTGTATTACTTTTAGTTTGGATGTGAATCGTTATCGTTTAGGTATCTATGGTGGCTGGGAAGTAAAAGTAAACAATGTGAGATTAAAATGAAGCCTTTAGGAGTCACAGGTGTTATGTATGCTCCACGAGTCTGTGCAAGGCAGGAAGTACAGATTGTCTATTGGGTTAAATTATATCAAGTGAAATCTAAGAAACAAGGAAATAGTTTTTACAGTCAAAAATGCTCATGGACCGGTTACGTAACTGTTGCATAACTGATTACAAAGAGCACAGTCTCCTCTTATCAGCTTTAGAAGAAAAAAAAATTAAATTCTCTGATTAAATATCCTCTGACTTCTATCTTTGGACTGGTTGCCATGGGGAGAATAGAGAGTTTAAACTTTGTTTATTCTGGGTTGTCTGATATACTGCACCATTCCTGAGGTGTGCACAGAGCGCTGCTGTGTTGCCTTTAAATTTTGTGATAAGACTCAGGTGAAGCGGCAGCTGATAATAGACGCCGACTTGACAGCCGACACCCATAAACTTGTTTTTGAAACCAGCCTTATCTTTTTATGTGATCCATTTACAACAAAAAGCTGAACTCATTGACGAAATCTGGGCAGGTCGCACATCACAACGCTGTCCTGTGCCATCAGGTCGCCGGTGGCCCGATGACCCGGCAGACTGGCGTGTAGGTGAGCTGACCCAGCCTTGTGTTTCCCTGTCGTGAGAACCAGTCTCTTCTGTCACTGTCATCTCTTGACCTCCCTGTCACATTTCAGGTAAGGGTTAGCTTTATCTATATGTAGCTGGTGCTAGCTCGTCGCACTCAGATACACACGCAGGCCTGACCTCCTCTGATTTCTCACTCTGATAACCATCACATGACGCTAACTGATTAAATCCACGGCGTTTCCATGAGCGTGTTCTATACAGAAGGGGCGGAGTTTATAAAAAATGATCAGTTAAGGCAACAATCTCTAACATTTTTTCATCTCAAAACAGTCGTTTCAAAGGTTGATTTAACAGCACAATAACTTATAACAGGGAGAATGGCGTCTCTCTCGTGTCCACAGAGTGCCACGGTCGCCTGTTTTCAGCACTATGTAACTTTAGCAAGTGGCCGAGGTCATCTCATGAGAAGTGCGTACGTCTTTACAGCACTAGTTCACACAGCAGCCTTCAGCTACAAAGCAGCCCGTTAGCCCATCTCTGTACTGTTTGATACAACGGATGGTAACACAGACTCAGGTATAATCACATGATAGTATGTATCACATGTATAGTATGTTTTAGCATCATTCAAACTCCTCGTCTGTCTAATCTAACAATGAGCACGATCAACGGGAGAACTGTTTGATGACCTGTGAGATTATAAAGAGTTCAACCTGACCAGGTCTGCTGAAATCTCCGTCCAGCCGATAGGGGCCCAAATCCTCCCCCCATGAAGGCTGAGGAGGAAGTCATCAAATGTCGCTCTCTTATCACAAACATCCTCCATGACCCGTAACCTGACCGCTCAAGTTTTAGGTTACAACCTGTTCTCTTCCTCAGTTTGGAGAGATTTGAAAAGTAAATGATAACATCTCCAGGTATCGAGTGACTCTGTGAACGAGCTCATAAAGAGTGTCACAAGTTTACAAGACAACAAAGATCTTAATCTCTGGAGAAAGTGCGTGCAATGCTTGAATGTTGTTTGTCGCTGTCGATGGCTTGAAGATTTCTAAGCAGATAAAAGAGAACAGATCTGAACAGTGTGTGGACCTTCCTAAAATACAAAATAAAGAAGTAAAAACACACACACACACACACACACACACACACACACACACACACACACACACACACACACACACACACACACACACACACACACACACACACACACACACACACACACACACACACACACACACACACACACACACACACACACACACCGTGTGACAGTGACAGATGTTAACCACAGGAGGGCAGTGCTGTAAAGGGCTGTGTAGCAAATCAGCTGCATCCTTTAGATAACACAGGGAAAATCCAGATTCCAGTGTATGCATACCTGTGTGTGTGTGTGTGTGTGTGTGTGTGCTAATTCTGTCATATTTACAAAGATCAGTATTGCAGATATGTTGATTAATGTCACTGTCCTTATACATTATATAGACAAATTATTTTTCCGTGCACCTTTCATGTTTGAAACCATAAATATAAAAATGATGTACGTTACCGTCGTAGTTTTTCTAGAGCCAGAAGTGACCATATTTGGAAGAGAGGAGCTGAGGGGAATTCGGGGTGAGCAAATGCTAAAGGCGTTCTCACTCCTATAGGTCGTTTGCTTTGGTCTGAATCATGGACCAGTTTGTCAATCAAAGTCGGTTCGTGTTCTTACTAACACAGTACAAAAACTAAGCGGACAGAGAACCACTTTTTCAAGCAGTTCAGTATGACATTTTAACATGGGGCTCTATGGGGACTGACTCACTGCAGGAGACAGACTCTAGTGGACACTGGAGGAACTGCACTTTTTCACTCAACTGCATTGGCTTAATTTCTCAGCTCCAAAAGTAGCTGCTTGGTTGTTTCCTAGAGTTGACTTGTAGATTTTTGACCATTGCGGTGTGTGCAGATCAAAAGGGGGGCAAGTTTAGCAAATAATTAGTCAACACAAAGGCGCAAATAGATGCACTTGACACAAATCCTGCAAATCAGGTCTTCTGCAAGAGTTGAATTTACTCACCTGATGTTCTCTTCCTGGTATTCTAATATCTTTGCAGAAAAAAATGAGAATATCATTGAATTATCTTGCATGCAAGCTTTTAGTGCAGATGTCATTCATAAATATAAACTATACTTATCAGCCTGCAGAAGCCCTGTGGATTATGTGTGTGTGTGTGTGTGTGTGTGTGTGTGTGTGTGTGTGTGTGTGTGTGTGTGTGTGTGTGTGTGTGTGTGTGTGTGGCGGTGATTAATATAAGCTTAGATCACAGTAACTCTCTACTTTATATTCAGGGTGATTAATCGTTGTTTTCTACTGTAGAGGTACAGATCTCGTCCTCGCTTCTTCACTTTACTGTCCTGAGTGAAAAATAACTTCCGCCTTTTCATTCATCCATGTTCAGAGGAGAGGGGAGGAGGAGGAGAAGAGGAGTAAAATATCTCAGACATAACTCCATCTGGAGAAGCCGTGCCCGTCTTTCAGGCTCCTCTTTGATTAAAATTTCAGAGCAGGCTGATTAATGTCGCACCATCTGGACAGGAGCCGGAGAGTGATTTCACAACTCAGAAAGTTCTCTAACTTAATTTCAAAGGTGTTAAATCACACAGCTTGATTATTCCACCACTTGAACAGGAAGCGTTTAGTCAAAGAGTTGCACATGCTGCTGCATTCAGCAAAGAAAGCGATTTATTAATGTGAACTGAAAGGGTTCAGTACAGTTTTTTAAGTACTGCTGCACTTCTTTACTGAGATCCACCTGCAAGATTTAAGTTAATCTGTCCGCCCAAATAATGTACTTAGAATTGAGTTATTAAAACTGAAGTGTTGCAGTTATCAAAAGGTGACTACATATAAAGTTGATGTTTCATGTGTGGCCTTGACATAAAATGCATCGTAAAGGTACAGTTAAAATTCATTTGTCAGACATTTCTATCCAAAGTGATGAACATCAGAGAGTAAGAACAACACAAGCAAAGAGAGAGAGAGAGGAGGAAACAACGGCAGGAAGTGCAAAAAAACAGCTTTAAGTCTGATCGGAAACACAGGTGCTGACAGGAAGTGACCAGAGGTGCTGACAGAAAGTGACCAGAGGCAGAGCACAACATCGACAGTAGCTGAGAGCTCTAATCAGCATCAAAGCCATCGTTAATATCGTCATTATCATCAAGGTCGTAGGTCGTGTTGAACTCAAGACCACTTTAACCGAGACCAAGACATTCCTGAGACCAAAGTGCTCAGAGACCGAGGCAAGACCCAAGACATTTAGGGATCAAGACCGAGTCACAACCAAGACCATAAATGTCTCTGAAAAATCATCATCTTGTGTGCATGGGGCGTGTACCTCATTTAGACTGTAACACAGGGAAGGTTGCCGCCGTAACCTGGGGATAAAAATGAATTGAAGTTATTCTTTCTTTTAGAAAGAGGAGTTTTCCTTCTAATCACAGAAATGACGTGAAAAAATAGACGATCAGTGGTGGTCCTGACCGTTTTTGATATAAAATCCAGAGGCCGTCCAGTCTGAGACCGAGACAAGACTGAGTAAACATGCTTTTGATTCCGAGACGAGACCTTCAGAAAGTGGTCTCGAGACCAAGACAGATTTCGAGTACTTAAACACTAGTTGTAGGTGTTCATAAAGAACCAAAGAACCTCCTGCTGAAGAAAAAATGCTGGACCAACTCCATAAAAATTGTGATCACAAAGGCCGAAACACATGTAGAAATGATGCTCAGGAGGGCGCGCAGATGGGGGTTGGGTCACACCCCCCCCTATGTACAGAGGCTGTAGTACTCGAGGCGGGTGACCTGGTTTGGGTCTGACCTGCGGCTCCTTTCTCCCTCCGAATAGTTTAATCTAAATCTGCACCAAAAAGAAGTACAACACTGCATTGATTTGGGCTTTTCGAATTTACAGCACAATTCCCAGAACATGAACGCGTCTCAGGTATCTCTATTAAAACTAACGAGAGCATGATCCTGATTGGACTAAGTGGCGCGTCACAGTGATAAGGATTATCTTCAGAGCAAATGGAGCAGATAAATCAGCAGTGGGTGTGTGGAAGCTGCAAGCCAGCCCTCCTCTCCGCTGACATTTACTGCTGCTCTCCATCACGGCTACAAAAGGCCGTTATAGCAAGAGGCCATCACGGTGACACGAGCCCCGACAAGACGAGCGCCGCCAGAGGTCATTCATTAAAATCAGGCCGTAAAATCAGCAAAAGCCTGGTTATAGCCCTGATGTTAGTTTGACTCGATGTAGTCCTTCAGATAACACGAGGAGCAGCTTCTCTAAACCAATCAGAGTGAAGCAGAGAAAGAGGAGGAGGCAGAGTGGAGGGAGTCGCTCCATCAGACGACAGGAACGACTAATGGACCCTGTCTTTCATTAATGCAGCCTGAGTGTGTGTGTGAGATAAATGACCAGCTCCGAGTGGAAACAAGGCCATTACACGCATGAGAACATGTAACCATGTAAGCGTGTGTGTGTGTGTGTGTGTGTGTGTGTGTGTGTGTGTGTGTGTGTGTGTGTGTGTGTGTGTGTGTGATTTTTTTACCCACAAACAGCACATAAATAACTCCCGTCCTGACGGTCTCGTGCAACAAAGTAGAAGAAAATAATAATGTGCTTTTTGTGGGAAATTCATTTATTGAACCTGTGAAGCATTTTACTTTTATTTCTCACACAATAAGTCAAAGAGGCGACGTTGTTTAGTGTTTGTATTACACTAAAGCCGCAACCTCCAGGGTAGAAAAGGAAAAATTAAGCCGATGCTTAAGTGCAAAATTCTGCAGTTCCTCGAGTGTCCACTAGAGGCTGGCTGCAGAAGCACATGAAGTCACAAACACACCCAAGCCTGATTGAGATATGAGACGTCCTTCAACATGGCGGCACGGAAAAACTTTGCGTTCAAGCCAGGATTGAGAAGAAGGAATCATTCATCCACTCGACATTTGTTGCCTCATTGTAAACATGAGCAAAGCAGGAAGAGAGGAACGGCTGAAGTTTTGACAAACTGAAGCTGTCTTCACACATGAACTCCTGAAAATTTCTAGAACATTTGAGGCTGATTGCCCCTGAAATCTTCCTCATTCTCAGTTGCTCTTTCACATGTGTCCCTCACAGTGGGAGAATGTCCCTTTTGGAGAGGGGGAGGGTGTCCTCAGGATGCAAGACATGACGTGAAAAGGACACGGAAATGTTGGACATAGCAATAGAGTCAGACGCTATGACCTTGACAGTTTTAGCCTCAACTTGACTTCACATGAAAGATTTCCTGGCTGACAGGACAAATCTATGAAAATATGGGGCGAACATTTTGACCGTTTGCGTTCACAAAAGCAGCTGGTCATTGGTGATGATATTTCAGTAAGAAAGTGGAAAACATTCAGAAATCAAAGCTGCAGAAGAAAAAACCGAACAGTTCTTAAATGTCTTTAATCAGCTGTTTCTCTCTCTCTGACAGGGTGTCCCTGAACATGACTGACTGCTGCTCCTGTCACTCCACTCACAGGATTAAATCATGACCCTGTGTGCTCGTCGTCGTCTTTCCCTCCTCCTCCTCTCTCTGCTCTGAAAAGTCTGATCTTCTCTCCTCTGCACCGTCTGTTCCCTCCTCTCTTCCCTCCATCCCCTCTTTCCGCTTCAAAGAACTTGAAAGCATCGGTTAGTCTGTGAGGCTCTGCTGTGATCTCTGCTCTGAAACAGAGGAGTAACACACCAACCACGTCTGATTAACAGGTGAGGAACGTGTGTGTGTGTGTGTGTGTGTGAACGTTTAAGAGCTTCAGGTTAATTCGGTTGCTGCAGAGAAACTGTTTGATATCAGACCTGTGTCTCCTTTCCCGCATTCCCCACTCTCTTTCGCTCTCTCCCTGATTCCTGACTCTATCCACTAAAGAAAAGCATAAAAGCCCCAAAATAAACCATAAAAGAAAAGAGTCAGACTAGTTTCTCCTACGCCTTTTTTTACAACGCTGATATCATAAGCCCTTCCCCTTCTTGATTTTGATTGGCCAGTGAGGGAGAGGTGAAATTGTAGTTTCAAAAGTTGAACTGTCTTCACCTGAGTGCGTTGGAAGCACAGCGTTAGAAGACAGCCGACGCTAAGGGCGTTTGAGCGCTCTGAACACGGAGCGTCAGAGCATTCAAACGCTGGTTTCGTATTGAAAACGAGCACCGCCGGCACCAAAAGCGCCGTCTGCAGACACAGGCCGTCAACAGCAAAGACTCCAAACACCATTTAATAAAACATATACTTTATTTTCTTGGTGCGATGCAGTCATCACACGGGTCACTTCATTTTCATCCCAGAGTCATTCCACAACAAAACTCGATCACAATCAAAACGACCGTCAACAAAATCACAACGAGCAACCGAACAGCAATCTTCAGAGGGTTAAAGGACGACAGAAGCTTCAGGTCCTCACACGGAGCTTAATAAACCTGCACACGGCTCGCCTCTTCTTCTGTGGTTGAAAATGGAGGTCAGATGAACAGTTTATCTCCAAGGAGAAAGAACCTCTTTGTGAAGCATATTCTACTTCTAATGTGGTAACTGTCCCGGTGTTTGCTTTTTGTTTTTCTCTCTGATATACTGAGTGGAATTAAAATGTCGGGATATTCCCTTCATGTGCAACAGAATAGTTTAAACTCCAAGGATCAATTCCAAGTGTTTCAGTCTAATATGGGGCAGGTTTGAGGCATATTGCTTAAAAGTGCTAGGGCTGCACAATATATTGTTCAACTACGTCCATTGCCACATCGTAGGACAAACGAACTCAAGCTCATTGTGTGTGTATCGTGACGTTGCAAGAATATCAGGATTTGGATGTTGGAACTAGCTACGTAGCCTAGCGTTCCTTTGTCTCGTTGCTGTGGTCGGTTAAAGGTAAAAACAATTACATCAAGAGAAAGTTTGATATCAGTTTGTTTGAAAACGCTCCTTTGAGATAAAACATTAAAGGAGATCTATTCAGCTGATCCATATTTAAATTCATACATATCATGTTACGATGTTGGCGTAAACCCCGGACGTGGTTTCCTGCTGCTCTGAACGAGACGTTACGAGAACTTGGTGAGACTTGGCAAGAACCTGACGTCAGGTTCTGCCGACGTTTCAGAGCAAAGCTGTAGGACACGCCCACACAGAAAGCTCACTCAAGTGTCCCTGTGACTGCAAATAGAGCTGGCCAATCAGAGGAGAGTAGGCATGTGGGGAGGCGGGTCTTAAAGAGACAGTAGCTAAAATAAAGCGTTTCAGGCAGAGGCTAAAATGAGGGGGTTTTACTGACGCCAGTATCAGATAAATGAGGAGGTTTTTGAGCTACACATCTCGCAACAGGTGTCCCAGACTGACATCATTAAGGGAGGAAGTGAGGATAATAGATCTCCTTTAATGGATTGGTTGTGTGGCGTGGGATGGCGTGTTAATTTAAATGTCATAGTTCCTGAATGAACCTCGAAGCACCTTCCCTTCATATTAACAACATTTTCCACAAACTCTCACTGCACTAATATAAATACATGAATAATTCTGTTAGGCAGAGCAGAGGACAGAATAATAAGTGCTTTAAAGTAAATAACTTCACAGGAACAGTAAATAATAAGTCATCAGGTCACAGCTGTCTGACGCAGATGTGCATTTTGAAGTAAAGCTGATGCAGACGGGCGTCCCGGTGGTCCTCGACCAGCCGCTTCCTTCTGCTCGATCCGGAAAGGCTTCTGTGGCCGGACCAGTCTCTTTGGCCCCACCTCTTTACAATCCCCACTGCTCTAACAGGCAGGTCTTCATAGTAACCAGGTACGTGTCATCCAGCAGCCTGGTGGCTGGTCTTTAGTCTCCAGAGGGGCCGGGTCGGGAGGTGCCCTGCTCCCATGATTTCTTGCCCAGGAGGGTGCATCGCCTGGTGGATAGTGGTGGTCGTCTACGCCCCCACTGTCAGTTTCCTCTCCAGCCGGTCTAGCTTGGCCAGATTTTCCTTCAGGAGTTTGGACCCAGGGCTCAGAAGAAGGGCGCGCTGGTAGTACATCCTGGCTGCTGCGTAGTCTCCCTGCAGACAAAAACACAACGATACACACATCATATACGACAGCCCTGTGACATGAACGTTTAACATTTAAACCCATTGATCTTCCTTTCAAGGGAATAAAACGCTCCTCACTCGTACACCCGGTCTAACATGTTCAGCACTTCACAACCCACACATGGTTGTCACGTAAATACTCAAACAATTTATCTTCCCCACCCTCGCTCGCCTAACACCAGAGTAAACCCATTAGTTGGGGTGCAGACAGCGGTAGCAGCAGGCTTTGGTCCTCCAATGAAGGTGGCCTGGGTTCAAGTCTGACCTGTGGTGTTGCATCACACAACATTGCTAACAGGCTGTTAGGACAATCAGAACCAACAGAATCAAGAAAACATCACAGAAAAAGCTCGACTGTAACGCACAACACAGCAGTATAAAAAAACACTAAATCCAGGGGTTATACCTTTTTTGTAGGTCACTGGATCTCAGATTAGATCAAACAAAATCAAACATTTTCTCTCGCTTTTCTCCGCACAGCAACAAACTTCTGTCTTTAAACGTGAATTTTACATTTTCTACCTTAATGTGCTGAATCCCTCCCATGTTCATCCAGGCCTGGGATTGGTCGGGTTTGAGCTCCACAGCCAGCTTGTAGCTCTGCAAAGGGGAAAAAAAACAACAACAACACAGCAGTCAGCTTAAAGTAGGGGTGAGCCCATATTGACGAGTACTCGACGATTCGTCCGTCAGAGCCTCAGTCGACTGTCAGTCTCTCAGTCGAGTACAAGGACTCTACAACTCGTACTTTAAATCCCTCTCCTGAGTGTGTGCATGAAGAAATCACCCCGACGTATTGATAGAAGCAGCAGATCCATGTTTAGAGAATTTCACTGGCTACAAGAAACAACAAGCAATCGTTCTTAAGCACGGTAACTTTGCCAAGAGTGAGTGCTCCCTTATGCATGAAAATCACTCTTATACATTAAATTATTCTTCAAGCTTCTCTCTGATGACTTCCTGTTACACTAAACGTTTAAAAAAGGACATTCTACATTTTAGTTTTTTTCATGTCCCCATTGAGATAAAGAACAATGACTCCTGCTGTTTCAAGGTCACACGAGCAGAGCAGCTGCTTCTCCTTTTCTCCGTCTGTGTCTCCACACGAGGCGTTCAAGGACAATATTTGATGTAGGTTACTCTCATGTGGCACACGCTCCCTGAATTTACAAGCAGAAAACAGGCGTAAATAATATTTTAAAATGTTGCTTCAGGTTGAACTCAGCTGTTATCTAGCCGTCTGTGTAAACAGGTTGTCGTGCCCACAGGTGAGCAGTGTTTTCTGCTAGCTTGTTGACTCTGAGTCAGTCTCGAGGCGTGTTTACAGTCGACATGCTCCCTCCTCTGAATCGCTCGTGTGACTCTCACTCTGCACAGGTTTCAAATCCCTCCTGAAGACTCTTTTTACACTTACTTTACTATTCATGGTATTAACTCACTGCAACTGTAGATTTTCATTAAGACATACAAGGGTAATGTTGGGAGCTGTGCAAAAACAGAAACTATCTGAGAATTCGAATGGCTCAAAAAGGAACATCAACACTGTGCAGGATGTCCTTCAAATATATACTGCTGTAACATGTGTGAGGATTTCCTGCTTTGTCAGGTCAAAATCTGAAGACTTCCTGTGACTCGTTTAAAAAAAAAAAAGAAAAAAAAGTTGAACAATCTCTCAGTCTAACTTTGAGCTGATTTATGCTCAGGTGGGATTCTCCGTGTTTCCGGTTCCAGAACAGCTGATTTCTGTTTCTTCAATCAACTCTGAGTCCGTTCACTCAGTGTTCAGAACGTGCACCACGTGCAACACCTGTTGGTTTGACCTGATAACTGCTCTCATATCTGCCAAACCGAGGGGCGTCCAAAAAGGCCGTGTGGGGGGGGTGCCTTAAAACCGCCTACCTTCTCTGGTCCAAACAAATCCAGAGCATTCAGGAGCAGAATCTAAAGTTAGAAGGAGGACATACTGACTGCTGCATTGTTGTCAGAGAAGCCAGCACTTCAACATAGCATGTTTCCTTAATGTCTGATCAGATAGTAAGGTCACTTTATCATTTCACTCACTACTCATCTGATTGGACCTTTAAGTAAAACATAAACGTATCATTAAAAAACTTTTTTCAGTCTCAGGAGTCTAGCTCCTCTTCTCTCACTGATCTGATTTAAACAACACATTCACATCAGCGTCACTCTAAAATCAAAACACTCTGATGAACCAAAATGTCTCCCCTTCTCTTCATCGCACTTCTGTAAATAAAGCCGAGAAGCAACAACAGGATGAATAAACAGTAATGGAAACAGTCTGCAGTGTTAAAAAGCCTCTTATTTATTTAGCTTCGTATCTGCAGGGATTAGGGCAGGAGGTTTGAATCTGTACACTTTCTGCTCTGACACTCAGGAGATGAAAAACAGACCGAAAAGTCAGAAAATAAACCGCTTTAAAAGGCACTTCAAACGCTGCTGCATGTGTTTACGTTTCTCCCTCAGAGATAATAGAAAAGGAGAAACACAGCGTTATCTGTATCAGCTAATAAAGCCGTTTCCCTGCACAAATACGGCGCTCTCTTTTTAAAGCTGCAGTGACCTCAGATGGCGCCCTACGCCCCCTCAAGTCTCGTTTCCACTCTCTCTGGTTTGTTTGATTTTTCGCCTCTCAGGAAGTCAATCAACGCTTCCTTCCCAGGAAAAAAAAAAACTGCCTTCCAGGAACTTTCCCCGTAGATTAAATTGAGGTCATGGGGTCCTCAGACAAGTCACTGAGAGCGTGTTTGAAAGGGAAAGTGAAAGAAAGCAGGATGAGGAGAGAACTGAAGGGATCGCAGTAATGAGCCGGACATGTTTCTGATACGGTCAGAGCAGTGTGCTCTTAATTTATACTTTCATCTGCATTTACAAACACCTTTCGGCTGTGAATGTGAGCCCTGACACTGTGGTAGAAAGTCATATGCGGCTCTAAATTTGTGTCGGGCTCGTGAATGGAACAAATAATCTGGGTTATTCAACTCTACCTTAAATATAGCAGCTTGAGGAGCACACCAGGTATTTTTAAACCAGGCTCCTGTCCCCTTTCTTTTTTTTGTTTTTACAAAGAGCATGGTCCAAAAACCAACCAATGAACAAAAGAGTTTGGAATTTCTCCCGACTTCTTTATACAGCTGAGAAACCTGCTCCCTGTGGTCTTTAGAAAGAGCTTAATTTAAAAACTGTCAGGCTCACATTGTTATTCTAAGAGTTTGACGACATCACAGAGAGGATCCCTGCAGAGAGAGCGAGAGAGCTTTTTGTTGTGATCATGTTCTTATTTTTGAAGCAGAGACAGCCTTTACATCACCCACTAGTCGCTCAGTCTGCAGGGACTTGGGGGTCGGGAACCAGAGGGTGGCCGGTTCAAGTTCAAGTCCCGGTGTGGACTAATGTATGGAAGTTGGTCTGGTGGCTGGAGAGGTGCCAGGTGCCCGAGTATGACCAAGTGACCTTGAGCGAAGCACCAAACCCCCAACAGCCCTGGTGTGCTCCCTGTGTAGCAGCCTCTCACTGACGACCCTCCACTAGTGCGTGTCCACAGGTCGCGTTTGTGCATGTGTGTGTATTGGAGCCTCGTGCGTGAGAAGCTTGTCTCTCAATAACAGAGCGTGAAACCAGAATTTCCCCTCAGCGATTACTCAAATATGCAAAATCAAATCAAATCAAACAACTACGAAGCCATAAGACTCCACTGACAAAAACAAGAGATTTCACTTGACAGAACACAGGAGTTAAGATTCGATATACTTTATACCTCGGGGAAGTTTCCCTTGGACTCCGGGGTGGCTGTGATTTACAAGTCGTACAGAATGTAAAACAGTTTGCAGCAGGCAAGGGAATTGAATTCAGTGCATACACTTGTCCACACATACATATTTACACATGCACATGATGTTGTGGCAGTGTTTTAGTAATGCAGGCGCGGTAAGCCTTCTATTGCATAGGTCCCCTCTGGGTGCTGGTCTAACACTGCCTCTGCTCATTTGTTTGTTTGTTGTGTTTTAACTGGTAAATCCAGGGCCGACATTTAATCTGTGAAACTCAATCAATGATAGATGCAAGCTGCGGAAGTACAGTAACTCCTGAGTGCACACGAGGTAAAATAACGGTTTGTCGGTGAAGTCTGGTGGCTTTGACGGAGGTGAAGAAACAGCAGTTTCTGGTGAAACACAAAATCATCATCATCAGGGTCTCTCTCTCCGTGCAGTAATGACATCCCTTAACAAAGCTGACGGCTGGAGCAGTTATCAAGACAGAAAAAATAAATCGAAGGTTTCAAATGGATTTTTCTGACTAATTGCCTCCTATTCACTTTGTCGGCTAATCCCACAAATATCCAGAACGATTTGTAAGGAACAGCTCAGTTGTACGTGGATTTTTGAGAAACGGCAAACACGTCCGTGAAATAAATCGCTTTTCACATACAACAACGTTTTGACTGTTATTTTTAGGAACGGCTGTGGCTCAGTGGGAGAGAGAGAGAGAGACAAAGTGGGAGGGAGGGAGTGAGAGAGAGGGGGGAGCGGGGAGAGAGATATTGGTACCTCGAAGGCTCGGTCCAGCTGGTTCATCTCTCTCAGCTGGTTTCCTTTGGAGAAATAAAGCTCGGCTTTCACTGTCAGATCACTGGGATTCTGCTGCAGGGCCCGGTCCAGAGCGTCCAGAGCCTGGCACAGACACACACAGTCATTACACACTTACACACACACACACACACACATATATATATAATCAAACATCCCCCCCTTCTCCCGCTGCTACTTTGAACCATGAAGGCCTCTGTGGGGTGGGAGAGAGAGGGAGGGAGGAGGAGAATTGAAAGAAAGGCTGACGGAGATGAAGAGAAAGAAAATGTTTTCATGTCTCTGAGAAAAAGAGCTGCAGACACACAGACGAGAGCGAGAGGAGAGAGAGGGTCGTGTTTGTGATCTTAGAAGAGACTCCGGCAGCAGCATGTATCCCTGCTTCAACCGTGCCCTCCTCCCAGAAACATGAGACCCCCTGACCGAGGAGAAATACTGATGTTTAACTTCGGATCTCTGAGCGTGGCCCAGCAGAGGTAGTCGAGCTCCTTTAAAGGAAATGAAAAGGTCGAAACGTTTTCCCGGACTTCTTCAACAGTACCCGCCAAAAACACTGAAGCTTGGTGATTTATATTATTATTTCAAAATGAAGCTTGATGTCAACACTGAGAGCGTTTACATGAACTTGAGTATCCTGGTTGTGAGCCTAAACGGCCTTAAAGGGACAAAAACTAAAACTTTTAGTGGACGCACTTTGATCTTTAATCACTGGTTGCTTCAAAAAGTGTCCCACAGAGCGCCCCCTTCAGGCCTGGAGTATGTACTTCTGTTGAAAAGGCTGAACTTGCAGTTGTGTCGGGTTTTTGCAATAGTTTGTAACTTTTGAAGCTCGTTGGTGTCATTTGAATGTCAGCGTTCCTGAATATGCCGCTCGTTTCTCTAAATGTGCGTTGTTTCAGCTGCTGCCGAGCCTAAGCACCTAAGGGCCGCCGCATTCAACAGATGCCAGCTGAAGCAATCACGATAGATCACTCTGATTTCCCTTTTAAAGCAAAGACAGCTGGGTCAGAAAGAAAAGGAAAAAGGCGGAGGGGACGGGCAGAAGTGATGGTGGTGAGAGATAAGAGTGGGAGGATGAGCAGCAGCAGCAGCAGCTCGCTAGCAGATTGCTGCAGGTCTGGTTTACGGTGGAGGTGATTTGTTTCCAAGGTAACTGTGGGAGCAGTTTCCTGCTGAGGGTTTATCACTCCTGAGTGTGAATGTCTGAACATAGTGTGTGTTTTCTTACCTGACACTCCAAGGCCATGTGATGCACACACAGAAACACACACATAGAAACAGGATGAGAGAGAGAGTGAAGAGAGAGAGAGAGAGAGAGAGAGAGAGAGAGAGAGAGAGAGAGAGAGAAGGCACTAAATGTATAGAGAGAAACGAGCAGGATGGAGATGTACATTCAGATAAAAATGTGGTAAGAAATGATCAGATAGGGGAAGAAGGAGAGCTGATTAATGTTGAAGAAGGTGGGATCAGTTTAATGGAGTTTAAGGGTAAGAAGGGAATAAGTCAGGGAGGACAACGTGTAGGGTGGAGAGAAAGATGTGAAACAAGGGTAGGATGTTTAAGAGGAGTGGGTTGAAGGGTAGGTAAAATCCTTTTAGTGTCTCAGGTGGAGGGATGAATAGAGAACAAACCAAATGACGTATTTTTGTAGGCCAGAAGTAGCATCGCCATGGGGTCTATTGAGAATTTGATTTTGATATTTTTGCATTGGATTTTGGATCATTGCAGGAAATAAGCTCAGCTTGTCAAAACCGCTGATTAGCTTACATAGATCGTCTGAAGCGTAACGGTAGTGTCGTCAAAATCATCTGACCGTGGTGTAGTTCGCTATAGCATAACGTTAGCTTTTTACTTCTGTCGGCTGCATTAACGCTTCAAAAATCATAAAAATTGGGTTCATTTGTGAAGATTACCCAGGGCCACGGCCCCTAATTATACATCACTTTAAGCCTTAATATAAAGTAAACAGATGAAGGAGGACATTTAAACATGAGGCTCTATGGGGACTGACTCACTGCAGGAGACAGCCTCTAGTGGAGACTTGGGGAACTGCAATTTTTAGGGCATTTCTGCATTGGCGAAACACACACACACACACGCACACACACACGCACACACGCACACACGCACACACACCTCTGTGTAGTTGCCTCTCTTGCTGTAGATCGCAGACAGGAGGCGGTAACATTCGATACAGCTGCCTTCTCTCGATATGATGTCCTGCGTCATCTTCTCTGCCTCTTTGGTACGACCCGCCATGGCTAAAACCTGAGCCTGGAGCAGAAAAATACAGAGTGCGTGAGTGTCAGAGAGTGTGAGTGTGTGTGTGTGTGTGTGTGAGAGTGTGAGCTTTCCAGGGTTTGGCAAAATGTTCTAGCGCTGACATATGTCGATTTGGTGAATATCCAGTATGTGGCAGCTCTCCCAAAACCACCCAGATGTCCAATCATGCAATGATTTAGAGTGTGTGTGTGTGTTTGTGTGACTGTGTGTGTGTGTGTGCTGACCAGAGCAAGCCAGATGTCGGCACTGTTGGGCTGCAGGGTGGCGGCCTCTCTGTACACCTGCAGGGCCTCCTCGTAGCGGCCCGTGTTGTAGTACAGAGCTCCGAGCGGAGTCAGGATGTCAACTTTCCTCGTCACCTGCAGCGCCCTGCACACAGACGTCACAAACGTGCTGTTCGATGATTGCACTCTTTGAATAAAGTCCATTTTAGATGTTGCACAGTGCTAAACTCCAGGTGTATATTCACATGTTCTTTGTGGCATCCAATAGAGCGTGACAATAAAAACAACATGTTTTGTTTGCTATAGCAGCGTACATGCAGGACCTGCTGCTGCTCGAACACAAAACCACCACATCACATCACCTTCCCATCGCTCACCTTTTGTACCAAGACTCAGCTTCTTTGTTCTCATTGGACGATCTGAGCAGGCGGCCCAGGTTCACCATGGCAACGTAGTGTGCAGGTTTGAGTCTCACGGCATGCTGGTAGTGAGCGGCTGCTAGCTCGCCGTCTCCTGGAGGACGAGAGAGAAAGGAAACGAAACGAAATAAGGAGGGACAGAAGAGGGAAGGAAACAAAGAAAAAGTGGAGGAGGAATCAAAAAAAGGAATATAAGAGGAAGGAGACAGGAAACACGTGCAGGTGAGGGAGAGAGGCAGAGTCAATAAAAGGTTAGAAAAAGGATGTATGAGAAGTTTTCAACCGGTCGCTTCAGGCTTTGACTTCGTTAAGAAAAAGAAAAACGAAATCAAATCAGCTGCCTGCAAAGAAGAAAAACTATCTAAAGGCTTCTGTTAAAATTCATGAAAATATACATTATTTTGTGGGTTATCCTCCAGAATTAACCCTTTGCCGTGTGCAGTATCTCACAACGGTCATTTAACCTTGGGGCTGCCATGACTTCATATCCAGTCATTACAGTAAAAGTTTGTCAATCAAAACTGTCCATGCAAAAAGAAGACTTTTGGTGTCAAAGCGTTCACCCATCAGCCACAGGGGGGCGCAAGAGAGCTGCTAACTCACCCGTATCCACCAGAAACACGCCGTAGTTGTTGTGCAGGTCGGAGCTGTCGGGACAGTTCTCGATACCCTTTAGATACACCTCGTTGGCTTCAGCGAAACGTTTCTGGAGGAGATGATGAGGAAACGGAGAGAACATGAGACAAACTGTCAGACATCCTCCTGTGAGCTGCAGAGATCAACGGTATACAGAGAAAGTGTAGTAGTAGACTGAAAAACTGCCAACAGGCACGAAGAGTTAAATGCCCTACGTGTGTGTGTGTGTGTGTGTGTGTAAAAGGGAGAGTCCTTTGTGTGTGTTTTCTGGATGTTTCACCTGCTCAGCGTAAAGAGATGCCAGGCTGGAGTAAGCATCCGCAAAATGAGGACCGAAGCGTATCGAGTCCCTCAGCAGAGTCTCAGCCTCTTTCTCCTTCCCCTGAGACCTGAAACACACAAAACATCACATGTGAATTCAATTCCAGTGAATTCAATTCCAAAACAACCACTCAAACTCACACTGACACCTATAAATCAGAGTCAACGGTTAACCCAAGAGACATAGTTTGGCCTGAGGGAGAAAGCCGGAGTACCCCGAGAAAACCCAACATGCACAGTAACCATCTTACTGTGAGGGAAGTGTTCACCACTGCACTACCATGCAGCCAATCATGGTCCTACTTAGAGTCAAAGGTAATTAGCTCGGTATGCAAACTCTTTACCCAGGTAGAATGCAGATATACACTCTGACTCTGACTCTGTCATCCAAATATGGTCACTTCTGGTGACAGGAAACTCGTACAGTAACGGCCAGATGCTGAAGGCTTCAAGAGGAGGGTTTGAAAACCAGCGAGCAATGTCACTAAGCGGCGTCATTTAGCGTGTTAGTAGCATGCATGGTCATGTGGCTCAAATGGATTTTTAATCCAGCTGCAGAACTCTCGTCCTGTCGTCAGCAGCCGTATCGTTCTTTTCTTGTAGAGTCTAATTTCATCTGTTTTCAATTTGCTCATGTCCTCAGAACAAATAGAGACGTAAACACAGCGCTGGGTGTTGACTTGCAGCAGCCGATCGATGGCTCAGTTGGTTCTCACAGTTCCGCTGATGACACACAGGCCGTAATAGACCTGAGCAATAATAACAGGCTTCACATCAGCTTTTATTATTGATGTAATTTTCTATTAGATCCGGGGGTATTCAATCCTGTTTGACTACCACAAAACCAACCAAGGAAACACCCAGAGCTGTAAAGAGAGCTGTTCAGAGCACGGCTCCGGTGTCAGGAGTCAGGCCGAGCCGACCGCTTTCATTTAGCCGGCGTGAAAAATGATTCTCGTTCAGAGCCTCCAGCCTCTGACTGATGCCTCTACATCAGCTGACCAATCATTTCCATCCGAGTACGGAGGCGGTGTTTCGACATATCTCTCAATTCTGTTTGTCCAAAGAGACACGTCAAGGTTCTGCATCAATAGTGCACCAATCATTCAAGTTTAATAACGGTTTCTGGACTGAAAGCATGGTGGGAAGTTTAACCACAAATAAAACATACATGATGCCAGGATATTTATTTTCACAGCATAATAAGATTCACATTATTGAGAGCAGGTTGAGACTACAGAGGGCATGATGCACGAAAGGATTGTGCAGCTTTTGCGCCCGCCAACGCTGTGCACATGAATTAAAAAAAAGACGCCGTCTAATTCACGAAACCACCAGAGGGTCAAAGTGACTCTGAGCGCCGGCTGAGAAACTGAGAATGTCACGCACCTCGCGGGACACGGCGAAACATGGCAGACACAATCTCTTTTTTTTAAATAAGATTTCTTTATGTCTTGTAGCCTTTAAATGTACAGGATGCAGGATAGAGTAAGAAACCAGGGAGAGAGAGAGAGAGAGAGAGAGAGCAGGGAACGATATGCAGGAAAGTCAGATCCAAACCTGGGCCCTTTTCCTGGAAGACCACAGCCTCTGCAAATGGGAATGCGACCTAACCACTAGGCCATCTGTACCGCAGCAGACTCCGTTTCTATGCTGCTCTTTGCATCCACCCTTTAAGTTCCTCTGCAGAAGCTGTGGAGTCAAACATTGCTGCAGCTCATATTTACACTGACTTTATTGGCAAGTTTTTTTTTTAACCTGAATCTCATTAGCGCTGTATGCTTTGTGAATCCATTCTCAGTGAATCAGGCACAATGTTCAGAACCTGGAGGCTGACAGGCAGTTTCACAGGCTGTGACAAGGTGTCTGGTGTGTGTAGAGAGGGTGTTATAGAGTAGATCAGAGAGAGTTTTCTTTAAATGGTAAATGCTCTCGAGCTTTTATGGCGCCTTTCCACACATTCACACATATTCACATACTGATGGTAGAGGCTGCCATGTAAAGTACACACACATTCATACGCCTCTGACGATGCAGCGGTGAGTAGGCGGCTCGCCCAAAGGAACGTGTGTGTGTGTGTGTGTGTGTGTGTGTGTGTGTGTGTCTTACTTGAGGAGGTTTCCCAGGTTAAACAGCGCTCGGTTATGCTGAGGGTTGGTGTCCAGAGCTTTCCTGTAGTAACTCTCCGCCTCCTCGGGGCTGCGAGTCAGAGTGCCGAGATTGTTCATGGCGCTGGCATGACGGGGGTACAACCTGAGAGGAGGGCGAGCGAGAAGAGACAGGAGAGAGAGAGAGAGAGAGAGAGAGAGAAAGAGTTTAGAATGACTTCGGTAGATCTCAAAGTAGGTTTTACATCCTGAAGGAACATGTGTCCTGTTGCAGAAATAAAAAAAAGAAGTTTGCAAACAACTCTAAACCTACAGTGAAGAAAACCCTACAGTTCCCCGCAGATAAAAAAAAAAGAAAGCATAAAAGATATGAAAGAAAATTATGTTTGGGTTGAGCACATGCAAAGCAAACACTCAAAGGCAGCCATCTTTGGTACCAGTTAGGACCAACTGATAAAAACCTGGCCCACAGTGAAAGATTTAGAAAATCTTAACAAGATGGTGAAAATGAGAGCGAGCCCACACGAGGACAAATAATGAATTTATTGATGATAATGAATTTATTGATGATAATGAATCTATTCCTATAGTGTGAAGAACAATGAAAGCACAGCACACACTCACACTCATTCAGCTACAACCAGAGTCCTGACTCTGAACTCTGAAAATCTCACTAAATCTCTCGCTGTCAGACGGGACTTTAGAGTAAACAAACGTGGTGGATGTCGGGCAGGAAAATAATTGGAGTTTCATAAACTTCTTTTCACTGGACAAAAGAAAAAAAACTATAAAGTGAGTCAGGACTGTGTGAACGTGTTCTTCTGTACATGTTAAGAGCCCGGGCTGGAGGTGAGTGAAAATGAATTCCCTGTGGTTGTCGTGCTTCCCTCTTCAGGCAGCTCGCTTCCCAGCCGTCTAACGTAGTTTGGGTAAATCCACAAAAAGTGTGCTCGGCTGTCCTCTGAGCGTGGAAACTCCTGCACATCGCATCGCTGCAATACCTGTCCTGTCCTGTATGTTGCGGATGTATTCGCTTTCTCTCACGACAGACGGTGTTTCTGTACTTTTTGGATCACTGAGGTAACGGGAGGTTGAATCGAACATTTTCACAACTCTGCTCTAACACAACTCACACCCAAGCTCGGCGCTACACCGGCCCCATCAAAAATATGACTAGCCCCCATAGCACCTGATCCCCCTCAGCACCGGAGAAAAAAGAATCCTGGCGCCGTCCCTGCAGTCACACTACGGGAAAATCTGGCGAGATAAACCCACCAAATCAGGAGCCCAAAGTTAGCTGAAGATAAAAGAGTCTTAGTAGATTTTTGTACCAAAAGAAATACTTCTCACTTTAACCTGAAGAATGAATCCCTCAATAAGTTTTTTTTTGCCGTTTTAGGGCGTCCTATAAGTACACAACAACGCCATTTCTTCACCACTAAGTAGACGCAGTGACACTGTTGGTAAATATTTGCTCATTGACGCGTCCAGCTGTGAGGAAACATCGTGAACTCATCTGCTGCCGACCAGCTGAACATCAGTCACAATGCATTCATCTGAAGGAGCGCTAACGGCCGCGCACTTCCAGAGGGAGACGTACCGGAGCGTGCTCCTGATTGGACTAAGTGGCGGGTCACAGTGATGAGGATTATGTGCAGCGCAAAATGGAGCAGATAAATCAGCAGGGAGAGTGTGAAAAGCTGCAGCCAGCCGCCTCTCTCCGCTGACATTTACTGCTGCTCTCCATCACGACCGGCGTGTGGTTCAAACACACTTTAATGGTTAGAGACCATCATGGTGACAGACGCTCCTCTCTGTTTCCGTGGTAACTCTCTTCACGTGTTTGGTGGTTTTAGAGGCAGAAAAAGAAAGCAGCTGTGGAAACGCTGGGACTTATTCACTACATAGCGAGACCTCTTTTTAAAACTTTAAATCAATAATATTTCTCAAGTAGTTTTCTGTTTTTGCATGATCACTCAGGTCTTGCATGTTCCTCGGGATTGCTGGTGGGGACGGCCTGCTGCTATGGACTCCCCCCCCCCATTCTGTGTCAGAAGCCCAGGAGGCCTCGTCCCGGGAGCAGAGGAGCTCCCCCAACCTTCAGCAAGGTTATCTGACACTACTACCACCCGACGTCCCTTACGCCACCGTATTATTATTATTATTCTTCTATACTTAAAATCAAGCTGCTTAATCCAACAAAAGGCGGAGAAGGATGGGGTGAAACATCTCTCCAGTGACAGGAACGAGTAATGGACCCTCTTTGGATTACTGCAGCCCGAGTGTGTGACGGATGAGCGGAGCACAGAGAGTCGGAGCTCTAACAAGAACATGCTCCTGAACGTGTGTGGACCGTGTTCTTTATAACCAGTAACCACATGAATCTGATGGAATATTAATGACAGGTTTGTTGATGGTAGAAACTACAATCCAGCTGTTGCTTTGCAGCTGAGGGTGTCTTAGTGTCTCTGATGCTGTCGTACTTCTAACGGTTTGATCCCCCCACTGGAGCCGCGCTCTATAAATAAACAGCTCAGAGCCTGCAGGAGAGGGTGTGTCGGAGGAAAAGCCAGCAAGTGGAGCATGTCTTCTTAAAAGGTCACATGCAATAAAAATGTAGTCCGACATGCAGTCACCTTGGCTTCCTGGAGATCCATTATGCTGTGAGTGTATCGGACCTATTTTTATCACACTGTAAAGGTCCACAGAGGTCAAGGACACAGGAAACGTTCTGCTTTATAGAATGTGATGAAGACAACAAGATCAAGTGTCCCACATGATAAATCCAGAAGATCAAGCTTCTGTCTTCAAGAATGAATCTGCCTCACTCGATATTTTTAACATACTCTTAACAAATGTCTCGTGCAGATCAGACTTTATGTCTTCGAGCACTCAGGATCCCCTCGCACGTAAGTGAACATGAACTAAAACCGCCTACTATCCTCGTAGTTCATACTGATGTGGTGCAGTATGAGAACAAACGTGAGATCCTCGGTTTGCCAAAACTACCCAAACGTTGTCCAGGAGCAGTCCTCCAGAAATGTTTCAATATTTTCAGGATGTGTGAAAACGGCTTAAGTTTAGAAAATCGTTCATTAGAGGTTTTGTAGCTTTTGCAAAAAAAAAAAAAAAAAAAAATCGCAGGTGAGGCTTTTTGCAAAGCATGCATCAAAACAAACAAAGCTCTTAATTAAAGGAACATTTAGAGAATAATCGGGTGTTGAGTGCTGAAGAGAAACTTGGTTCATAATGCCGGCTTGTCATTTTAAAAACAGAGGAAACAGAGTCATAAGAGAAACAGTGTCATAAGAGTCAGACCTGAGGGCCGTGGTGTAGTGGTGGATGGCCTCCTGGTGACGCCCGCTGTCCTTCAGGAAGTTGGCATAGTTGTAGTGGACTTTGGCATTGTGAGGCAGAGTCTGGATACCAGAGCTGAAACGAGGAGGATGAGGAGGAGGAGGAAGAAGAGGAGGAGGAGGAAGGAGAGGAGGAGGAGGGACAGGAGAATGAGGAAGGAGAGGAGGAGGAGGAAGGAGAGGAGAAGGAGGAGGAAGGAGAGCAGAAGGAGGAGGAAGGAGAGGAGAAGGAGGAGGACGAGGAAGGAGAGGAGAAGGAGGAGGAGGAGGAAGGAGAGGAGAGGAGGAAGAGGAGGAGGAGGAAGGAGAGGAGGAGAAGGAGGAAGGAGAGGAGGAGAAAGAGGAAGGAGAGGAGGAGGAAGGAGAGGAGGAGGAAAGAGGAAGGAGAGGAGGAGAAAGAGGAAGGAGAGGAGGAGGAAGGAGAGGAGGAGAAGGAGGAAGGAGAGGAGGAGAAAGAGGAAGGAGAGGAGGAGGAGGAGGAAGGAGAGGAGGAGGAGGAGGATGAGGACAAAGAGGAGGAAGGGGAGGCGGAGGACGAGGATGGGGAGGCGGAGCAGGAGGGGGAGGAGGCGTAATGTTAGACTGTAGAGAAATCCGACATGACATTTCTTTCAGGTCCGGTATGGAGATTTCAACCTTTGGTTCAGCGGGGGAACATGTTATTTTAGTTTTGTTTGTCATGAGGACACAATACTCATCTGATTAAATCATTTCATGTTATTTAAATGATCTACAGGCTGGTAAACAAGAATGGTTTTAAAGCTTCTGCACTTTCTGAAACCATAAATCATTATAATTAAAGAGATAAAAATCACTTTAATAAACTTGGTATCAAACATTTTGACAACCTAATGGAACACACAGACTCTGTCTCTGCTCACCGAAACAGGGCCTCCCTGGAGAGCCAGACGTGGTTCTGCTGGACGGTCTTCCAGGAGAAGAGGACGAGCAGAAGCAGTGTGGAGACGCTGAGGACCGTCGTGCCCCAACGACCGACCACCGAGCACAGCCGGCCCAGACCGTGAGCCACCAGGATACAGTAGCCCATACTGCAGGGAGAGGAGATAGAAGAAAACAGGCAGAGGTATTATTCATGAGCTCGGTGTGTCTCTGTCATCACTCAGCACTCGCCTCTTCAATCCTGCGAGACGTAAAAAAAAATACTCCCCCTCCCCCCCATGGTGCTTTTCACCCAAATCACTTCAGCTCCCCTGGGTGCTCATATTTCTACCACGGATGGATCACTTTGGCTTCTACATCTCAACCACTTTCCCCTAAAATCTCTGACCCAGATCACATTTGAGTTTTTTTTTTCTTCCACACTGTTGCACAGCTTCAGTCCGAGTGCAGAAATGCAAAATTAGAGCCCCCTAAAGGAAAGAAGAGCAACAAGAGAGAAAACATCTATAAATAGGTTACAGTCAATTCATAGCATGACAAAATGAAAAAAACACATTCTGGTAAAATAAGAACTGAAGTTTGGTGGAAGTGACCGCTTGCACAGACGAGCTCAGAGGACTCCGTTTGTATTTTTGCTTTGCTAAAATTAAAAAAAAGGTCTCACCACAGGGATCAGCTGCAATAGTTATATTTTCCTCCAGAGCCTGAACATATCCTAAAAATGCACCCCCACACGGCCGTTTTGGACGCCCCTCAGTTTGTCAGATATGAGAGCAGTTATCAGTTCAAACCAACAGGTGTTGCAGCGATGGAAGCGGGCAAGAGAAGTGGTTCAGATAGAAGTGATTGTACCCGACCTAAAAAGCCTCTGCATGTTTCTAATAAGCTCCACGAGCAGAAACGTGCTCAAACTAGGATCAATATTGGAGATGCTTTTGAAAAATGGAGAGAGGTTAGAACACAGAAAGGTTTACAAACCGATGCAGAGCTGGATAAACACTGAAGCTTCAGTGTCCACCACATGGTGACCTGTGTGAGCATCGACTCTAGAGAGGAGGGGGCGGGGGGAGACAGCTCTCTACAATGTTTAGAATTTGGACTGCAGTACTGTAGTATTTTAACCACTAGGTATCATAGTTACATGCTGCTCCTTTAAATACAAAAAGACATGCAGACAAACACAGAGGTTTATGTTGAAGAGAAAAGAGCAGTGACTTCTCCCCTCCAGGCGTCTTTTTCTCTCTTTTTCTTCTCTTTCACACTGTCCGTCCGTCCTCGTCACTATCACTCCTCTTATTGGCAGGTAGACAGTAACCAGCTCTGACACCTCCCGCCCTCCCTCTGTTCTTCTCTTTGTGTTTCCTGCTGTGTCAGAGAGTGCGTGCAGCCACCCGTCACTCTCTCACTGATCACTTCTGATGTTATTCCAAGGTGTTGAATCCTTTCCCTGCTGAACTCCACACTCTGATGCAGATGTGTTCTCCGTCTCAAAGAAAAGATCAGTATTCATGTTGGTTTGACCTGATAACTGCTCTCATATCTGGCAAACCGAGGGGCGTCCAAAACGGCCGTGTGGGGGTGACTTAAAACTGCCTACCTTCTCTGGTCCAAACAAATCCAGAGCATTCAGGAGCAGAATCTAAAGTTAGAAGGAGGACATACTGACTGCTGCATTGTTGTCAGAGAAGCCAGCACTTCAACATAGCATGTTTCCTTAATGTCTGATCATATAGTAAGATCACTTTATCATTTCACTCACTACACATCTCACTGATTGGACCTTTAAGTTTTGCTTCTGTTGCAGCGTTAATAAAAAATCAAATCTTTCCAGCGGCAGAGAAAACATGTTTGATTCTTCGGACAGCAAAACAATTCTGCAGGAACTTTTACGAGTGTTGAACGCACTCTTTTGTATTTTAATCATCCTTTCAGAGAGCCTTGATCATCCAACCAGAGGATTCTTCATTCAGGAGGACGTTCCACATCTATTCTTGTTACACTACAGCTTGTTGACCCAGAGAGATGAACTCGGTACAATTTGAGTAAAAGCCTCGATAGAAAAATGGATGCTTTGTTGAAACTCCTACATGCAGCAGAGATGAGCCTGAACGAGAGGTGACGAGTCAAGGCAAACAAGAGCAAATCACTGAGAGGAGAACGATTCAGAGAGAAAGACGGGGAATAAATAAAGTGTCAAAAAACAGCGCGGACAAAAAAAAACAACACATTTGGCAAAAACACTGCGGATATCCTGTTCACGTTCTGTAAACCTTTTACTCCACGTTCAACAGCGTGAACAAGAGCTGGAACATATCAACACTGACAGGACAGATTGTACAGCTGTGTGTGTGTGTGTGTGCATGTGTGTGTGTGAATTCAGCCTTCAAACCAAACAGTGTGTGATTTAACACTGCAGAAAATGAGATTATCCTACACTGATTCTGTATGAAAAACATCCCAATCAGTTTGTAGACAAATGCCCCTGACGCACATTACCGTCCTACACACACACAAACACACACACACGCAGGAGGAGGAAACTATCTCAGCAATATTCCTTTTTCTTACTATCACATGCGATTATGTTTTATGTCTCGTGCTATCTTTATGCCCTTATCTGGTTCAGTCTAAGATTTTTAATAACTTCTCATTATTCTCTTTGCCAAAACTGCTCACAGTGAGAACCCAGCAGCGACCTCCGGTGTTGAAAAATAAAGCCCGATGCAAAAGTGCAAACTCCTGCAGTTCCTCGAGTGTCCACTAGAAGGCTGTCTACAGAAGTCACATTCACACCCACGAGTCACTACCGAGGCAAGCAAAAGTGACATTCCCTAGCAGCAATGAGCGCCGTGAGAAGCGTTCTGAAACTGATCGGTCTAGAGCAGTGGTTCTCAACTGGTGGGTCGGGACCCAAAAGTGGGTCTCGGAGATGTTTTCAGTGGGTTGTGAACATGTGACTGGGGGCAAAAAATGTGTCAAAAAGTGAAGCGCTCTTAAAAACATGTTGGTTTAGTTCCTTCACTGGTTTCGTACTGTCTGAGGTCGAAACTGCACAATTTTTCATTCAATAAATCTGAAAAAATATCAGAAATTTGGGTCACAATTTTCATGAAGGAGTTGGTGGTGGATCCTTAAGCTAGACCAGTTGAGAACCGCTGATCTAGAGCACTAGAACACAAAAAGCACTGTTTGATGGACACTAACCCTAACCCCTCAACAATGGCTGCACTGATTTACTTCAAGGTAAATGAAAGAGGATGTCTTTAAATTTCTACGATTCTTAAACGAATACTGAATCATGACTGAATCGTTGTTGTCATTGGAGTATTTAGAAGATCTATGCATTGCATCTTTGTATGTAACTTCCTAATGCTAAAAAAGCATGATGTTATGTTGCATCATTTTTTCCCGCCGCCCCCAATATGAATATACTCGTAAAGTATACGGGCCTCCTGTGCAGTGAACATATGGAGGACAAGCTGCCTGAAGCATCTGTGGCCTTAAGAGCCGAGAAGAAGAGTCACAGAGGAGAACTCAACGTCTGCTGAAAGGGACGCCGCAATTATCTGTGTAGCAGGTTAACATGAGAGCGCTGAGGGAGAACAACTCGGGAGGATTTCTGTGAGCTAGAAGCGCCCGCCTCCCCGCTCACTCCAACGGGCCCACTAAGTCTCATAAAGGTCGTGATTCATGGGGGACATTTAAACACTTTGCATACCAGAATAACCTCTGAGGATAAACCTCCCTATGGTACCGGAGGAAAGGCGAGAGAGAACAACAATTTATTCTGCAGGAGAGGACTCGAGAGGGGATGGAGACTGAAGGAAACAGACAGCAGAGAACGAGGGGCTAAAAGACGGTGGGCAGGTGGGTGAACGCCACGGGGAGAAAACAAACAGCTCGAGATGGAGGGTTTGAGTTAATGACGACTGACGGAGAAGTGGAGACAGGACTGAGAGAAGAGATGTGGACGGAGGGAATGATGGACAGATTAAGAGAGGAGAACAGAGAGAGAGCAAACTGAGAGCAGAAACCCTGCAATGAGAGACGAGAGGCTCTTAACTCAAGAGGGAAACGCAGCGGAGAGAGACACTGCTGAGAATGAGTGTGTAACAACACACACACACACACAAACACAAACACAAACACACACACATATGTATATAAATATGTATATAAATATGTAACAGAAGTGATTTCTAAAAAAAACGTTTAGATACACGAGCTGAAAAATGTAAAATATGTTCATTAGGGCCGTCAGCATTAAGTCGTTGGGTCTTATGACTGCACACATCTGACCACTGAGACCCCCCCCCCTCTGATTTTACCTGCACCAACTGACAGACAGCATCTGAAATCACCATGGCAACAGCGGACATGCCCTTTCTATCCGTCTCCCCCTCCTATCTTAAAGAAATATGGCAGAATATCTGCAGACCTCCAGTCGATTGAGAAAATCTGATCAGATCTAGAAGCAAGTTAGCTTGTGATCATTGGTGATGCAGATAGTGTGTGTGCGTGTGAGAGAGTGAAAGAGAGAGCACGTGTGTGTAGGCCAGGTGAGTCGTGCACATTCCAACGCGACTTTTCTACAATCCTACAGAGAATGCCGGGCGCAACAGAATCAAATTTTTTTTTACAAACACTGACTTAGACCAAAAGAGACTTAAAAGTCTTCGCACGCTAGGCTGAGACAGCATTTATCTGCATGGAAACCGGCAACGACGGGACTCAAGCGCCCCCTGCAGGAACAGACGGGTGATGTCACTCAGGCTTCAAACATTCATATTCACAGTCTATGGGAGGAGTGAAAGAAAAACAAAATCAGCATCCAGTTTCACTTAAGATTCACTTTCTCAGGAGAGTAGGTGTTTGAAATACCTCAAAAAAGACAAATAACTGCAGGACTATGAAACATAATCCATCACACACACACACACACACACACACACACACACACACACACACACACACACACACACACACACACACACACACACACACACACACACACACACACACACACACACACACACACACACACACACACACACACACACACACACACACACACACACACACACACACACACTGACTCACCTGGGCATGTAGAGGACCCTCTCGGCCACGACGAAACCCACCCTGAAGAAAAGGTTGCTGGCAGGAATGAAGGGAAACATGAGGAACAGCAACCCGACCAGCACCTGCCTGCTCTCCTGTTTCTGCAGAGAGAAGACGACAAACACAGAGACGTGAGTCACAGCGAACAGAAATGATGTTACACTTTACAAATGTAACAGCTTCCACTCTCTGCCAGCACACACACACACACACACACACACACACACACACTCTGCAAACACACACACACACTCTGCAGCCGTGACCAATCTGTCTTACATATTAACAATCATCTGCTCAACAGAGAAGCAATTAAGGCGATCACATTATCAAATTACAGCTAATTCCCTTTTCCATATCTGAGCACATTTATATTTCATCATGCTCCGAGCCTTCTCTCCTTCCATATAATCCTGTCATGCCTCTGTTTGTTTGAGCAAACAGGCCTCTAATTGGGCCGAGGCGGCGGCCCCTCACTGGGTTCAGTGGATTGGCTCATTAGCAGAAATGAGAGAGAGAGAGAGAGAGAGAGAGAGAGAGAGAGAGAGAGAGAGAGAGAGAGAGAGAGAGAGAGAGAGAGAGAGAAGCGTGAAGAGCTGATTAGTGTCCCTCCAATCAGAGACCGTGAGCGTGCAGGTGCTCCTCGGATGGTCCACGTTTTCGACTTCAGTGTGTTCACGTGCTTTCGGTTCAGAAAGTCCGAATCAAACAACAAACAGCGTGGATGTTAAAAAGAAGACGCATGTGCATGTCTCTGTTACGAGTTATATTTGAGCTAAAAGCTGATGTGCAATACGTAAATAAAGAAAAAGTATCTGAACACTAACAAAACATCTTTTGACTGCAACTCATTATTTACCGAGTTTCCGAGTAGTTGACATTAAATGCATGCAGGGAAATAGTTATATTTCAGAGACAAACAATGAACATCATGTCTTTTGAAATCTGACAGCCAATAGAACGGCCGTCTGTGGCCTTTAAAATGAGCTCACTTTAATTTTCTAGGACAGAGTTTTCTCCAAATGTCTCTGACTGCAAGCAGCTGGACCATGCAGGGAAAGAAAACTGAAACTGAATGAAGACCTGCAGCCCACACGGGAGAGGCCGGCCAGAACCCCAGATGGCCTGGCGTCATAAACACACGGACACACACTTGAAAAACTGACCACTGGCTCTGAAACATCCACACACACACACACACACACACACACACACACACACACGCTGACAGCAGCTGCACAGAAGAACCCACAGACAATCCTGGACAAGCAGGCAGAAACTGCTGCCAAATTCATCCAGTGCACTTTTCCCCCCGCCAGTTTCCAAACACAATTCTGAAAGTGTGTGTGTGTGTGTGTGTGTGTGTGTGTGTGTGTGTGCTCCTGCAGGTCAAGGTGCTTTCTGCAGAGCACGTTCTTTTTTTTTCCAGTGGGTGTTTCTGGAGAAAATGGAGCTTGACTTAAAGTGCGACCTCACCCCTCCTTTAACACAGGAAGGAGGTGAAGTCAGAATCCACTGAGGCTCCGTGAGGTCGTTAAAGCAGAGTCTATCGCACGGCGAGGTCGAGGGGAGAGGGCGGGAAAGGGCACGCTGGAACGCAAATTACTTCCTGAGGTTGCAGAGGGTCAGCGTTGTGCAATTAATTCAGGATTTCAGCAAGAAATCGTCCAGAGGGTCAGGACAGAACATGTTGATACTGACAGCTGCAGAGAGTGTGTGTGTGTGTGTGTGTGTGTGTGTGTGTGTGTGTGTGTGTGTGTGATTTTAAATTTCTGTATCACATCCTCAACTCAGTAGGATGAAGTGAAGTGGCCTGAAAGGAAAACTGGCATCGAGCAGTATATATTTTTTATATATTTTTTTTACATATTTAGAGGTCTAAATAAGTAGAAGTTATAAAAGCTGTTTTATTGCTCAATTTGTTTCTTCAGTCGGCTGAATCAGTGAGGGCTAATGCACCAAATGTACTTCCATCAACAGAGTGCTTTTTTCCTCCCCACTGACAGGTTCAGATTGTTATCTAAACATTACAGAAAGGATCCCGGAGAGAGAGACCTTTATGTTGAAGGTGGACTCAGTAGAAATGTTGGTAACAGCTTGTTCTTCTAGAAGCTCACCCTCCCTGCGGGACGTAGTGTTTACGTTTACTGCTTGTAGCTACACTGCAAGCTAACCGCCGGTGTTTGTCACCTGCCTGTCCAACAGGAAGCAGAACAACTCCACGTCCACGGGTAAAAGACAACACAAGGTTCACCCTCGTTTTAGAACGAGCTTTATCCACTTGGTGTTTCTCCTCACTGTGATTATATTTTCTCTTCTTTGCTGCTACGTCCACGTCCGTCATATTCACCGGTTTGAATCATCCAATCACTGAATTGTATCCTCTCCTAAACTCACCTGCTGCGCTGTCATTGGCTGGAGGAAACACACCAGCTCCTCCCAGAAACGTCCCGAGTCAACCAGAACAAAGCAGAACAGTAAAATCCAGTCAGAGGACAGAGTCTCTGCAGACACAGTCACCACCACACATGTACGGAGGCCCAGAAGGGACGATGGAGCAGCTTTACTTTAGGAGAAGTCTGTCTTTTATTTTGAGGGAGAAAGCTGCTGACTCTGTCTTTAAAGAGGAAGATGAAACAGACATAACATCCCTCTCTGCAAACACACGCTTTAGCATTGCTGGTGTACTGCTGCCTCTGTTGTTAGTTTGCTCTTTTTTTTTTTTTTTTGTGCATTACACATAAAGTCAGACAATAACACAGACCATCTAACCAATCAGGACCGCAGAACTCCTGTTGTCTGCAAGGCTGAAGAGCTGTCTGAGTAAAATAGGGCTGTCAGTCATTAAGACTCCACAATCTGTCAAAGAAAGGGCCCAGGTTTTTAAACACCTTAACAAAGCTTCATTAACATATTTCTCTCTCTCTCTAACGCACGCACGCACGCACGCACGCACGCACGCACGCACGCACGTACGCACGCACACACACCCGCTGTAACAACATATGGTCAGCGCTGACGGCCCTCACAGGTGCGATTAACATTTAAACACAAACCATCACACACTTCTCTCCAATCCTGCAGCTCTCGTGAAGTCATAAAGACAGAATATCTTTCCAGAGAGACTCCATGTGGAAGGTGTTGCTCTCGGCTCCGCGCGAGCCAATTACATCGTCTGGAACACGTTTAAAGACAGACGGCGTTCTGAGGATGAAAACTCTGATGGAAATGTATGAATTTGTTGTTGTCAGGTTTCATTTCACTCAGAGTTTGACGGTGTTGGTCCTCCTGTTGGTGTGAGGTCAAAAATAAAATCTGAACACATTTCAGCTTCCCCTTAGAAAGAAACCATAACCCCTGGCTGACATTAAGTGGGCACCATGATGAAGGTCAGATTTAAACGCCTACACTGCAACTGTTGGATGAGAAACTGGCTTCAGCCTGGACGACTTATTTGATAGTTTGACCTGCAGCAGTGTTGTTCAGCAAACTTAAAGACTGAATGCATCAGCACTCGGGCTCAATACTAGACACTTTTAAGTGTTTTAAAAAGTCCATCCATCCATTTTCTTCCACTTATCCGAGGTCGGGTCGCGGTGGGAGCAAGCGAAGAAAGTAGGGATGCAACAATTCACCAAACTCACGATACGATTCTCTCATGATTTATTTTACAAAATGAGACTGAAGAATAAGTACGAGATGATTGAAAAATAATCCTTTAAATTTTGTAAGCTGGACTCCCTTTTTCTCTCCCCAGCAACGTTTCTCGGCTCCTCCTCCTGGGGGATTCTGAGGCCTTCCCAGGCCAGACTCTGAGTCTACCCCGGGGTCTCCTTCCAGTTGGGCGTGCCCAGGAAAACCTCCAAAGGGAGGCGTCCTAATCAGAAGAGCCTTTCTCGTATGACAACACTACAAATCAAAACTCTGAGAACAGCGTGTCATGTTTCTCATTCAGGACGAGTAAGAGTTGCTTTCAGGATTCACATAGTTTTAGGTTCTTAAAAGACGGACGGACACAACTTTTCTGAGAAATGTACAAAATGTTCTGGGAATAAAAACGACCCTACTTGTCCATTCAGCGGCTCGCTCTCCTGCTCCGCTGACGCTCTGATGGATGAGAAGAAAACGATTGTGAATATTTTGACTTCTCCGAGTGAAATGCTCACTCGCATGCATGCATGAGAGAGTCGGAGCTCTTAGCCTGCTGAGAGAGATTCTATGAATGTGATAAAAAGTAAAAAAAAACCTGGAGATGAACCTGCGAGGAGGACCTGCAGTCTTTAGTGAGACTCAGCGATACTTTTCTGCACAGGAACGTTTGGGTTTTAAGGAATGTTTTTCTCTCCAGAGCAGCAGCACGGCTCAACAAAGACTCCTTGAACCCAAAATCATCGGAAATGTAAGACGAGAGATAAGCACAGAGACATTATGGGAAAAAGGGAATAGGAGTGTAGAGCACTCTGGGAGGAGAAGAGGTTTTAACAAAAAGCAGGTGTTGATGGAGAGACACACAGAGCCAGGTCTGTCTCCACGGTAACAGCAGGTGTATGAGATGAGTCAGAAGGATGTGTGTATAACCCGTGTGCCTGTGCAGCTCTAATGTGTGCATAGCCGATGTTTCCAGTAACGACTCCTACATGTGCATGGACGGCATAAGAAGTGAAATTCTTATTTATGAGGAAGGGAGTGAAGTGTTAAATCTGTACGTCTACATGTTCTGAACAGCCCGAGACCTGACCGCAGTGACCCTATTCAGCACATTCGCCTTTAATAAAGCGCTAATTAAGAGTCCCGTTGGGATGTGAAGGCGCGCTGATTAAACGCTGATTAAACGCTGCTTAAATACACATTGTGCTCTTTAATGGAACATTTAAAAAGACTCATTCTATTCAATAAAGAAAGGATGAGATGATGTTACCTTAGCAGTCTTAAAAAAAACGATCTCTGGGCGTGGAAGTCGACACAGTTTAACTGAGAGGGACACTGAAGGAAACATGACACAGTTGTTCATGATGTTACAGAGATATTCTTGACACTTCAGCCCTTTCCTTTAAATCTTAAGGATCTTTAAAGCGGGAGTCAATAATATTTTTTGTCAAACTGGGCCCCTCCTCCTCTAGAAGCTCACCCTCCCTGCAGGACGTAGTGTGTACGTTTACTGTTTGTACCTACTCTGCAAGCTAACGCAACGCTAGCACAAGCTAACCGTTTGTCACCTGCCTGTCCAACAGGAAGCAGAACAACTCCACGTCCACGGGTAAAAGACAACACAAGGTTCACCCAAGGTTCATTGGCTGGAGGAAACAAGTCAAAAGTAATCAGACATTGCAAATGGATCTGATCTATATTGTCTTTCACCAGCAGAGGGAGCTATATGGACTACAACAGTGGCTCTCAAACTACCGGTGGTATGCGGACTTCCTGTGGTGGTATGCAAAGGAATCTCCACAATATATATATATTAAAAAAATGTTAAGCATAAAACGCCAATTTTTTAGTCATACTCTTATCTGTCTTGTATCTATTGGGTTGTATTAATATCAAATGTGTTTTCCTCTCTAAATTAATCTAGTTTTTGCAACAAACAACTTTAATCTGCTCAATGTATGCTCGCGCACACAGACATAAACAACAACAGGAGTACGCCTCACGTTTTGAAAAGTTCCCCTTGATATTCTGTTATAATTCAGTACTGAATCAACAGCAAGCAGCCGTAGGCCTACATTAACAGATATTCTGTTATTTATTGGAGTTCAGTACACAATCGGCAGCAAGCAGCTGTACATTTTATGGAGATGCTTCCGTTGTGATGCATGTACGGACAGTGGATCTTATCGCTCCCCCTCCCTCTATCTCTCTCTCTGTAGCTCTGAAGCTGATGTGATTCTGCTCTCTTTTGTTGTCTTAACACTCCGCAGGAGTCTAGACGGATTTTTTTTTTTTAAAAGGCAGTTTTGCTATGTTGAACGCAGAGACTTATAATAGAGAGGCTCTGGTTGCACAGAGCCTGCGGAGCGCGTGCCTGCACTCTCTCCCCCGCTCTCTCAGGCACGCAGCAATTTTATGAATAAATGAAAAATTAAATAAGAACAGGTCGGAAATATACTTGGGCCCAGGTATCGTGTTTGTGTGGGAAACACTGGAGATTAAATATTCTAAAACAGGTTGATGGTATAAAGTTGTCATTTTTATTGTTCTGCACTTTTTTTGATTTGGTCAAATGTCAGAGTTGTGTTAGTTTAAGTGCCAGTTCTAGCGCTGGCCCTTAGTAGGCCTACAGTGTGGCTGCCAACAGTCAATAATAAATAATATTCTTTTTATGAATTAATTTGCCTCTTGAGTGAAATGTGTGTTGAAATAGGCCTACAGTGTATTTTAACCTCTACCATAATGGTGGTACTTGGAGAGCCAAATATTTTCGGAGGCGGTACGCAGTCTAATAAGTTTGAGAACCACTGGACTACAACGATCATCATCACTCTCCAGAGAGCATCAAGCGGTGCCGCACGATCATTTTCCAGTTGAGTGACCATCTTGTCTTCATTATAATAGCGTTTGATAACTGCACTAAATATGTATATCTATATATCTCTACAGATCAAACATAGATCTAAGAAAGATATCGGTTGATATATCTGTGTCCATCAAAATCCCAAATCGGTCGGGCCCTAATCAGTGGTGTTGATTTGCTTAAACTTCTATCAGAATATGTGGCCTCTTGGTTCAAAGCCTTGCTCGTAGTCACCACACGTTTTCAGGTATCATCCTTTGCAGACCCTGAATATCTTCATCAAATTCAGCTGGGTAAAACTCTTGCATGGTTCAGTGTGGTGGAAAATGTGAAATTTCAGGAGCTTAACCGCCACTGCTGCTGTCCTGATGTAACCATGAGCTTTTTATTTGAAACACGTCCCCCTCTGGAGGGTTACCAGCTCTTACATTCATTCCCTGAGTTTAAACAAGGTACTGCATGATGTAATGAGAAGATACAGGCATCGGGAAGGTCGTGTGAAAACGCTGTCTTTACCTGCAGAGAGAGGACGCAGTGAAGGCAGAGAGCGAGCATCACCACGGCCAGCAGCACCGTCGCCACGTTACGCACATCGCCCGGCGACTCCACCAGGGGGATGCTCCCCACCTGCCAGTCGTAACACAGCACGACGGGGGCCAGCAGCAGCCAGGCGTTAAAGGAGAGCAGGTAGGAGTAGGTCAGGATCCTGGAGGAGGAGAGAGAGAGAGAGAGAGAGAGAGAAATGATCCATTAATTGTCAAACATAATCAGAGCTGGAATCCATCATTCTAATCAGTCTGTTTATCTCAATACTAAAATGTTTGGCGGTTTAGCTGAGGAGGTTGTCCGAGGTTGAATATTGATTGGGAGTCATTTTCTAACTTGACATTTAGAGTCCAATAAAATGAGCCCGTGCAAAGTCACACACTGCACTGAATGCTAAAACTGCTGCTGCTGCTGCTGCTGCTGCTGCTTTTGCTGTCGTCGTCTATTTCCTCCCTCAGTTTCTCCACATTTCTCTCGGTGTGTTCGAGACCTGCACGGCTGTCTGGAGTATTGATCTGTCTGCAGCGAGGCAGTTATTCACGTCAGTTAAAACAGCTGGCGCAGGGTAAGAGAGGGAAACGCAAACAGAACAAGAGGAGCCAGAAAAGGATGCAAAAAAAAAAAAAAGGGATATTAAAACAGGCCGGAGAGAAACGGAGCGTGGGGTACTTGGGGAAAATAAATATTTTCCTTGTGACCTTCCTCTGATCAAATTCATGAATCCCAGAGGTGACAGTGCACGGACAACCTGCCCTACCTCAAACAAAAAAACAGTCCCATGGTTAAAGACAGAGTCAGCAGCTTCCTCCTTCAAAATAAAATACAGACTTCTCCTAAAGTAAAGCTGCTCCATCGTCCCTTCTGGGCCTCCGTACATGTGTGGTGGTGGTGACTGTGTCTGCAGAGACTCTGTCCTCTCAGGGCCGGCCCGTGGCATAGGCAGTATAGGCAAATGCTAGGGGCGCCAGCCTCCATAGAGTGCGGCGGAAAAGTTTAAGATCAGAAGAAATAGAAGGAAAAATGCGTTTAAATATCACTGAATATTATTTATCTAATATAATGTTCATGCTTTTATTTAGTAATGATCCAAAAGAAGCCAAGAAAACACAACTATCACATATTTAAAAAGGCTCTATTTTCTTGCCTCCTGCTTGACGCGGCGCATCACAACACAGCTGCTCGTTACCTGCTCATTGTGGAGGAGGAGGGCAGGTGACTTATTAGAAGTGAGAGACACTGACCGTACGGATTAATATCACGTTTATAAATGACCGTGATGTAAACAACAACAAAGCCCTCCGGAGCCCAGGGACGAAAAAGAAGAAGAGGAAGAATAATATGAAAAAGACACAGAGGTAACATGCTGCACAGATCAATTATCTGTTGTAGTTAAGATAGCTCGTTATGGATGGATGATAGTAACGTCAGTGTTTCCTACCTCGAGTTAACATCAGTTATTTCCACTGCACTTTTATTATTAGGTAAAGATTATTCATGTTAAGAAAATAACTAGTGTCAGTAATACACTTCTTCTTTTGTTCTAATGTTGTTTGAGAAACAAAACCTACTTTTATATTTATTGACATCTTTGTGTACTGAGTTTAGCTTTCACCCTAGTCGATTAAAATGTTTATTTTCCACCTCCTGTTGTCATTAATAGTTTAAAGCTCTTGCCTTTAGAGTATTGATGTCTGAGAGCATGAATGCATTTTGTACAGAAGTCCTCACTGAATCGATCTGTGTGCATCCTGCAGGTCTGGGGTCACATGAAAAAATGTTGAGGTTTCTGTACTGCTCTGAAGAGAAAATTATATTTTGTTTTCACACTATATTATAAAATGCAGATTGCTTAACAAATGCTCATCTTCTCTCTCCAGATGCGATTATAAAACATTTAAATCCATCCCCTGCCGTCCCCCTGGGCCGTCTGGGACCACTTCTGCTCTCTGCACTGTTTGGTATTGTTTGTTCTGTTACACTAGTTATTTGTATTTATTATATTTTGTGTTTATTTATAAGAAATATTAGAGTTATAATCATTTTATTTATGTATTTATGTATATGTATTTCAAGTATTTTTTTATTTTAAAATAAAGAAATTATGTTAAATATAAACTGAATGCCAGTTTTCTTTAAGTGTATGAATATTGTCTTTGGTGGTCAACCTGGCTGCAATTTAAGGGGCAACGGCTGAAATCTTGCCTAGGGCACCAAAATGGTCTGTGTCCTCTGACTGGATTTTACTGTTCTGGTTGACTCGGGACGTTTCTGGGCGGGGAGCTGGTGTGTTTCCTCCAGCCAATGAGAGCGCAGCAGGTGAGTTTAGGAGCGGATACAGTTCACAGCTTCACATCATCAACTCAAAATGAGCCCTGAAGCAGAATTCAGGCAGGATTTTTATTCTCAAGGGCAACCGAGTTCATTTCAACTCAACCCGAGTTAAGGTTAAAATATGTTGAACATCCGTGGGTCATTTATAATCCTCACATCAGTAACAATTACAGCTGCAACGACCGGCAGCTCTTCTCACTGATCCTCCTGAAATCAATCTTTATCCGTCCACACGTCTGCGTGTCTCAAAGTGGATTGAGACAAGTTGCTTTACCTTTCACATTTTTCTAGTTCAGTTAACGGTGCCTCCGTCTGGAGGGGATGTGAGTCTGCCTGAGGTGAAGGAGTTCAGTTGTTGACGAGTGAAGGTAAGATGGACCGTGAGATTGACAGACGGGTTGGTGCAGCATCAGCAGTAATGCGGGCGGTGTACCAGGGCGCCGTGGTGAAGAGGGAGCTGAGCCTGAAGGCAAAACTTTCAATTAACTTGCCGATCCACATTCCTACCCTCACCTGTGGCCATGAGCTGTGGGCAGTGACCAAAAGAATGGAGATCGAGGATACAAGCGGCTGACATTTTGTCTGCAGAGTGTCCTGGCTCAGTGAGGTGAGGACATCAGGCATCCGGAGGGAGATCTGAGTAGAGCGCTGCTGCTGCTTCGAATCAAAAGGAGCCAGTTGAGAGGTTTTGGGCATCTGATTAGCATCCTCCTGGACGCCTCCCTTTGGAGGTTTTCCACACACACACACAGACACACACAAACACAAACACACAAGTTTGAAGCACACTGTTTGAAAGTCGTGGTGTGCTAACTTAAAGGTAGGAGGTTCCAGAGCAAAAGCAGAATATAGACTGTATAAAACATGGACGCTGTCAGAGATGCCACCTATTGGTTAAGCCATGTTGGAAATACTGACTGTAGTTAACTTTCTGTCCAGCAGGAGGTAAAGAGGTAGAGCCTCCTGGAAAACACCTGCTACGAGACCACCTGTCAGTCACCTCAGACACGCCCCTTATTATGCTAATAGCAGCAGCCGCTGCTTGAGAGAAACATAACATTCTTCCATCTTCCATTATTATTCTTTTCCCATAAATGACTGCAGGCAAATCTGAGCCCCACTCCGTGTCGACTTTCCCCTCTGACTCCCGCAAAAACGAGCTCAAAGGCACAAAGACGCTGAGCTAAAGTCCTCATCGATTCTGACAGAGGACGCGCCCGACAGAATCCTGAACAGTCTGGGCTGCTGAAGACCCGCTGCAGGTTACGTATTGATTTCCCTCCAGGACGGTCTGACGGAAGACGCTCAAGTTGGCTTCTGCAGACGGGGCGGAGGGCTGAATCCCCTCTGAGCACGACAATGAAAACATGTCAGGAAGACGGAAAGTGAGCTCGGGCTGCTCGTCCCTCTTCATGATTACAAACCAGACTTCTTTTTGTTGGGATCGGATGTTAAAGAGACGGACGGCAGCAGAGAGACAAAGTCTGCAATGCACATGGGGGGGGGGGGCAATAGAAAGACAAAGACCTGCAGAGGACTTGCAGAGGTTGACTTAAGCTCAGACACACACCTACATCACACACACACACACACACACACACACACACACACACACACACACACACACACACACACAGATAAGGCAGCTCTCCGAGATGGCGCTGACAGGCCGTTTAACATTCAGCTGAATGTTCTCCACCTGCCATCATCTGATGAGGCTGGGCTGTAAATTTAATTCCCTTTTCCACACTCTGCCAGGCCTTCTAACCACAAATTAACACACACTCACACACACACACATTCCCTCCCTCACACACCCTCACATTACCCCGAGAAGAAGAAACAGGAGGGAGAGTGAAAGAAGTAGCAAACGGAGCAGGGAGAGAAAATGAGTCATTTGTCAGGCGGTGTTTGGGCGTTCTGCTCCCCTGAGTCTCGTCTGGAAGGAAGAGGATACTTGGCATAAAGGTGTGAAGCAGCGTTCCTCAGCTGTTCAACACCTCCTCACACGCAGAGAGGCATCCAAAAAACTCCGACAGGAGCGGAATAAACGAACTGAACGCCAAATTTAAGACGATCTGAACACTCGGAGTTCTCAACAAATTAAATTCAGCGAAGTAGAGGGATCCAACAGACGTCGTAAAAGCCCGACAATCAATTTAAGAAGAGTGTCTCCAATTGTACTCCATGACACCAAGTTCATGATTGGAATAACAACGTGATACCCAGAGACGCTTGTATTTTGTCACATTCTTGTCCATGCTCTTTCTTTTTTTTTTTTCTTTTTTTTTAAGATTTATTTTTGGGGTTTTTGTGCCTTTAATGGAAAGATAGAACAGTGGATAGAGCTGGAAATCAGGTAGAGAGAGTAGGAGAAAGGAGCCACAGGTGGGATTTTAACCTGGGCCGCCCGCTTGGAGGACCATAGCCTAAACACGGCGCCACCAGCGCCCCGTCCAAGCACTTTTTAAATGGAGTAATGAGCAACAGCACGGCAGGCTGTAAACGTTACTGAAGCCTGGTTCAGACTACGGGAGCTTCATCACACACATCAGGAGAATCTTAACAGATATTCTTCTCTATGATGATGCATTACAAGATATGAAAGTAAGGGCACATCACATACTACAGGATTTTATTAAGATTAGACCAGTTAAAGCTGCGGCTTCAATGCTTCGTGCAGAGAGGGGAAAAAAACAAGTGTAAAAATGAGTTTGGGTGAAGAAATGTCTCTGGAGATGTGGACAGCATGGATTGTCTGCTCTTCAGCGAGGGCTGGAGGTCAGAGTGTAACTGTCAGATGCAGCTCAGGCGTCAGGCAGGTTGCGTCTTGCCGCCGTAACTGTTCACTTATGACTGTCCTACATATCGCTCCTTTAATCAAAGTCTTGGGTTGGAGATTCAAAACAAATATGTAGACATCAATTCAGTTTTGCACAAAGAATTATGGTGATAATTGTATTTTAAAGTCTCTATCCTGTTAGAGTGTGACTGTGAAGCCGTGTAGGTTGATTAAGACGATCAGCAGACACCGTGAATCATGCTGAGCTTCAAAAGCTTTTTTTTTCATTTTTCTACCGTCACTCTGTAAATGTCAAACAGCCGAAACAGGAGCAGGACCGAGACACGCTGTCGGGCTGACGCTCACACCGAGGGCTGATGAGGGAGCACGGGAGGCTGAGGCGGACTTCAGGGAGCAGAAATAATGAGGAGAGAAAATGAAGGCGAGCAGGACGGACGAGCGAGGGATCCGAGGATCCGGTGTAAATTTCCCCGGTGGCCGAGCGAGAGGAGAGACATTTCTCACTGCTGCTGTGCTAATGACGGATTAAATGGCGCTTCACCAACGACGACAACAAACACGACGGAGAGGAGGACGGCACCGCAGAACTGTCTGCTGGAACAGAAAGTTCTTAAAAGTAACTCGAAGTTTTCAAATTCCTGAACACATCCAAAACACATTTTTATCGTAAGGGCTTCTTATAATCCTTGTTTCATCCAGGATGGTTTATTTGTTTTACTGTTAACTTTAGCCAATCTTTGTCTCGGTTGTTTCTCTTTTCTCTGTTACTTGAATGATTGCTGCACTGTTGTTTTATTTTTCATGCTTTTATAATAGGATTTTATGGTTGTGTGTTTGTTGGGATTTTTTCTTTTTTCTGTAAAGCACTTTGTGACGTTGGTTTTGATAAGTGCTTTATAAATAAACTTTATTATTATATATTATTATAAAACTAGAGTGACGGATGACGATCTCCATGGTGTTTCAGGGCCTTTAGTCTTCCATTCTTGTGTGTGTGTGTGTGTGTGTGTGTGTGTGTGTGTGCGTGTGCGCATGTGTGTGTGCGTTCACCTTGTGAGCAGGTGAGGTGAGAAGGAGGCAGGGTTGTCCTGTTCAGAGAAGAGAGGCATGGATCCTCCCATCAGCCACAACCGGACTGACATGATGAGCACCACCTAGAGGACAGAGGAGGAACAACATGTCAGAACATTTAGCTGGCCGTCTGATGTCTGCTGATCAATCTCTGATGGAACATTAAATGAGCGACTCAGATGTAAGAACGAGCGTCCACAGTCCTTTTATTTTTGCAAACATTATGTTGAGTTTGCAACTAAAATATTTACAGTGGTAGGCACATCTCTTCAAGTTGAAAGAAACACACACATGCAATGAAATCTGTGTGTTGTTTTCAAGATGTTTTGGGGCCATTTTTGTCTTTATTGGACAGGACAGCTCAAGAGAGATAGTACATGTTTGGAGGAGAGAGCGAGGGGATGACATGCAGCAAAGGGCCGATGTATCTGAACACACAGATGGAGTGGGACATAACCACTAGCCTACCTGGCGCCCCAAGGACCAGTACTTGATGTTACAAAAAAACTTGACTCACATAGGCGGAGATGAGGCCGGCTCGTTTGATGAAGGGGCTGCAGATGTGGAGGAGGTCCCTGAGTCTGGAGCCGGACAGGTGACTGAGGAACAAACACAAACACAGAGGATCAGTCAGACTTCATCTGGGGGTTTAAGCAACACAGACTAAATACAACTCTGCACTTTGAGAGCGAGTCACAGCGTTTACCAAAGGTTTGCAACCTACCAAAAACTACAAATGCTGCAGCCAACAGCTGAACTAAATACTTCTGTCACTTTCTGTTTGCACCACCTGGAGCAATAACCAAAGACTGATCCATCACCAACACCTGGCTGCACCAAACTAGAGACACAATTACACTTATTGGTTGAAGGTTCTTCTTTCTAGGGCTAAAAGTTGACAGTGCAATGTGCTTCAGTTTAGCTGTGTCAATGGACTCTCTAAATGACCTTTTGGCATTGGATTATCTGCAGAGTTGTCCTTTTCTTAAAAATGAATCCATGAGCAGATTTAATTTAAAAAACACAAGCTAGAGAAGTCTGGTTGGTGGTTTTTCCATGTCCCACGGCCTGTTGAAAAACTCAGATAGAGCGCACGACTCAGAGGCTAAACGTTTTCTCAACAAATACACATAGCTAGTTTGCACATCTGCTTAGAAGAGAGATGAAGAAGTAACCATGGCAACCACTCGCGGCCTGAGTCCATCCTGCTAACTGTGGATGTTTTTGTGAGATTTCTGAGACGCCAACAACGACCCTCTTCCTCTCCGCGGCCTAAAGGATGAAACGGGCATGTGCAAAGCGACAGGAGCCATTAAAGGTTACGTCATTTAGCGTTCGCTTCCTCGACCGGACTTTGGGGTCAAGTGTACTTGGATCCAGGCCCGGGTCGCAGATAGCTCTGCGTCTTAGCTACGAGCTTTTCCTCTCCAACAAAACTCTTTCACGTTGAAGAATAAGTTCCAGATACCCTCAAATCTGGGCAATGACCTTTTCCAACCTTCCAGTAGCTTTGTGTTAAAAATGAAAAGCTTTATCGTGTCTACTTTCCATGAAACCGAAGAAACAAACTCTGCAAGGTCAACATCCATCCATATACTCGTTCATTCATGTATCGAGCCAAACATCCAGCCAAGGTCATTCTTAAAGCCTCCACCCCGCGGAGCACACGGCCCTCTGTTTTAGCCTGAGGTGGAAACTAGAGCTTCAAGTACAGAAAAGAGGCAGCAGGAGAATAAGATGAGAGAACAAGAGGAGGGGAGGGGGGTGAGACAGATAGCTAGTGAAAGCAAAGCATGGAGAATCCGTTCAGCAGCCCATCACTTTGAGACGTTCCCCGTGTGCAGAGCTTTCAAAGCATCACAGAGACGAGATCTCGCAGGAATTCTACACACATTCTGTGGGTCTCACACTCCCGTCTCTCCAGTTTCATCTCTACCCCCCGCCCCCCCACCACCCCCTTCTTTTTTTCTCCTTTTCTATATTTGTCTTTTAAAAGTCTTTGCTCTTCTGTTCTGCTGAGGTTTGCAGCGCCATGAGACAGAATGACAAAGAGGAGTCAGAGTCTGCAGACGCTGCATTCAGGAGTGACTCTCAAAGAGTTTGGTCTCCCCGCTGATTAACAGGGAAGTTCTTTCTCCGGGAGAACAGTGCACCTAATGTGTTTAATGGACTTCACACTCGCACAACCAGGTGTTCAATGCAAATGATGGAAAGTAAACATTTTAAGGATCTAAAACCCAAGATTTATGTAATTCTGGACTCAGAAATGGCCACATTCAGATCAGCTGAACTGCTAAAGTGACCTTACTATATGATCAGACATTAAGGAAACATGCTATGTTGAAGTGCTGGCTTCTCTGACAACAATGCAGCAGCCAGTATGTCCTCCTTCTAACTTTAGATTCTGCTCCTGAATGCTCTGGATTTGTTTGGACCAGAGAAGGTAGGCGGTTTTAAGGCAACCCCCACACAGCTGTTTTGGACGCCCCTCGGTTTGCCAGATATGAGAGCAGTTATCAGGTCAAACCAACAGGTGTTGCAGCGATGGAAGCGGGCAAGAGAAGTGGTTCAGATAGAAGTGATTGTATCTGACCTAAAAAGCCTCTGCATGTTTCTAATAAGCTCCACGAGCAGAAACGTGCTCAAACTAGGATCAATATTGGAGATGCTTTTTGAAAAATGGAGAGAGGTTAGAACACAGAAAGGTTTACAGACCCATGCAGAGCTGGATAAACACTGAAGCTTCAGTGTCCACCACATGGAAACCTACATGAGCATGGACTCTAGAGAGGAGGGGGTGGGGGGAGACAGCTCTCTACAATGTTTAGAATTTGGACTGCAGTACCCATTTTAAACACTAGGTGTCAGAGTTACATACTGCTCCTTTAATCAAAGTCTTGGGTTATATAATGTGGGTTAGACATAAAAAATGGCAGCCTGTGTTAGCATCGACTCTAGGGAAGAGGAGGCGGAGGGAATTTAACTGATTTAACTGGCGACAGATATTCAGAGAGGGATTCATCAAAGAAAAACTTGAATTTGAAATATCTATTGACTGCTGAAATACTTCTGATTGCGCCGACATATTTACCTGACAGCATGCTGTGTTTTAATCAGACTTAAGAGCTGTTAGTGCTGCTCATCCTGCTTGATGCTTTACTGAGTATTTAAGAAGGTTTTAAATTCTGTTTCTTTGTTTTGATATGTGAGTAGGATTACTTATTTTATGACATAATTTAAAATGCTAAATAATTAAATTCAATGAGCACATTCTGTGGCATGGAAAGGATCCCGAGGGAATCACCGACTGCACTCTAGGAATAGAAGTTCTGCAGCTTCGACGATACGTTTGCAGTGTTTTTAATAAAAAAGAAGAACACAATTAATCACAGTTGTATCGCCCTCTCTAACAGGTGTCCCTGCTTTAATAACGTTCTGCTGAGATGAAACTGATGAAAGCCGCGTGCTGCCTGACAGAAGCTGTTTCCCAAACTTGTCTTTCGCAGGTCGGATGATTAAAAATCTCCCTGAGGCTGGAAATGCAAAGCAACACTCGGCGTCCCTGGGAAACACACGCACATGCACACACACAGACACACACACTGGGATGGAGAAACGCTGAGAAGATTGGTTTCACGCTGCAAAGTAAGAGAATGCGACGCCCCTCCCCGCTTACACACACATACACACACAGACGAGGGGCTTATAGAGAGAGAGAGAGAGGAACAGACAGATGTTGTCGGTGTCTTCAGACCTGGGCCTCAACTTCTCTCACAGGATCATGGGAAAGACGACTCCGAGGATCTGCACAACAGGATGCTAATTTACCATGACAACTGTGACCGCAGCAACAGCGGAGGATGAATGGAGGGGAGGAGGCGTATGTTTGGAGGGGAGGGAGGAAGTTAGAGAGAAAATTGAGTTTGGGTGATTGTTTTTTGGAGAAAGGTCCGGGAAGGGGGGGGGGGGGGTTCAGCTTCACATACAAGAAACGTAAGCAGGGGAGGAGAAACATAAAAACAAAAGTGCAAAAAATCCACCGGGAACTTGGAGGGGTTGTTGTGATGTGAGCTCGGTTCAAGCCCTCAGTGCTCCTCTTGCAGCTAAAATTCTTCACATTCTTCCCTCTGGTGGCATTTCCTCTCCTCCTCTTCCTCCTCCTCCTCCTCCTGGTCTTCTTCTTCTTCGTCACCGGGTGCCACAGTTATTTACACTCACATGTCCAGCCACCGTGGCTGCAACACGACAGAGCTGCTGCACCACTCCGGGCTAAAAACTGACTCACTGAACGGAAGAGGTGGACTCTAAGAGACTCTCCAGATCAGCAGTTATGTTTTTATAACAACAAAAAGATGAACCATACACTCCTCCTCAATATATCTACACAAGAGAGGCGTTCTTAACCCCAAAACATTTTATGTAATCTGCCTAAATTCAGAGTTTTTGGACAAAACAAGTTTCAATTATAACTTAAAAAAAGGGATATAACACCATGATTGACAGCTCTGTTGACTAATGAGTGGGAAGCAGATTTTCAGAGTGGAGGCAGTTTGTTCTCAATCAATCTTTCAGAGACAAACATATGCTTCAAAATGTGACCAAATCGGTGCCACATTTACCTTTTCCTGGACTTCGTTCTGTAGCTTTAGGCTTTGATGATGCACGCCCTGGTGGAGCTCGGCCCAGGTTGGCACCAGGTTCAGTTGTTTTGCATAAATCTATCCGTGGACCGTTAAAAACAGGTTCAGTCAACATGCCGCTTTGTTGTGCCAAAAATCACAACATGCCACTGGTTAGACGTCCCAGTTCAAAAAGGTAGACGGGTAAAACACGAGAGGCACATGTGTCTACACGACGGGAAAAGTTGTATAACTCGTTTTCTTCTTAATAATTTGATCGCAGTGGTCATTTGCTGGTGTAACACAGACATGCAAAATTCAAGATTCTGCACAGAGAGATCTTCTTTTCTTTGCTTGACACAATTTTATTCTGCATTTGCATCAGATATGAGTCAAACTTCTACATCCCTGCTGTGTGTGTGTGTGTGTGTGTGTGTTTTCTCTCTTCTTGCCTGCACCCCTCATATCTCTCTCTCTCTCTCTCTCTCTCTCTCTCTCTCTCTATGTGTGCGTCTCTGAGTTGATGTCAGGCCTTGCAACGTCTTATGAAGTGTGATGTAGTGTGAAGGGCTGCTCGGGGGCAGTCACAGAGCCGAGACGCTTCACAGCTCTCCGACACTGACGGGACAAGTGCACACGCACACGCACTCCGCCTGTATGCATGCTAGCTTTGTGGGACTGTGTGTGTGTGTTAGTATGTGCGATGTGTGTCAGACTTTTAGGGACACACAATATTGAAAACCCATCGGTCTTCATCTGATAGACGAGCTCTGCCTCTTGAAACGGACGTGATATCTCGTAATTGCAGTGAAGCTAGCGGTTAGCATTGAACGACCTCCAGGCCAGGCCTCCTTCACCGTGCCGCGTTTAGCCTGCAACGTGAACGCAGTTCATTCTTTGTCCATAACGTCCCATTAGTGGACTTTCTACATTACTATGAAGACTCTGTATAAAGACATTAAAGGGACTCACAGCAGAGT